ACACACACACACACACACACACACACACACACACACACACACACACAGTTACAGCCTGAATACAAAACTACACTAAGATGGGGATACTATTGTTTAAGACAAATTACACACACACACACATACACGCACACCTCACCTTTCCTCCATAAATGTATGCATAGGCTAAAAAGCTACAAAGAAATACTAAAATTCTAATATTGTCTGTGGTAGGTTTGGCATGATTAAGAATGATGTCTTTTTCACGTTTTTTTTTCCATAATTAAATCTTTTGTTGGTGGTGGTGATGGTGGTTTGAGACAGGTTTCATCATATAGCTGTGGCTACCCTGAAAGTCACTCTGTAGACCAGGCTGGTCATGAACTCACAGAGATCTGCCTTTTTATGCCTCCTGAGTGCTGGGGTTAAAGGTTTACAATACCAGGCTCCATGCCTACTCCTGGCTTGAAATCATTTCTTTTTAATGAAATACATTTGATAAGCAAGTGAAACAATGCTTTACAAAGGTCTAGATTTAAAGGGGCCTAAAAACGACTTTTCAGGGCCTGCAAAAATGGCTCAGCTTTTAAGAGGACTGGCTGCTTGCTCTTTCAGCAGACCCGTTTGAGTCTACGTATCTACAGCATAGCTCACAAATGGCTCTAACTCTAGTTCCAGAGAATCCAATGCCTTCTTTATGGTCTCTGTGGTCACAGGCACACAAGCAGTGAACAAACATACGCAGGCAAAACAACCGTTCACATTGTTGAATATGCACATCCTTGTCATAAAACAACCGACCAAACAAAAACTACTCACAACATTTCTCAGCCACCTCTGAGACCCACAGCCTTACTATGAGTTACACCCTTTCCTATAATCATCTCTGTCTTCCTTCGTTACCACCAAGCTAGAATTTCTAATTGTCATGATGCCTTGAAGGGCCTGAGAAAACACTGAGTCTACTCATCTCATAGATAAAGCCAGTGTGAACAGGCCATTTTGATTAGGCAGTTTTCTCTTGTAAATGAATGAGAGTAAATCTTGTGTGAAATAAAACTAAAGCCCAAACCAAAACTATTGAAAGTGGCTCATGTCACTTAGGTAGGAGGGTACTGAAGGACGGCAGGCTTCTTTTGAGTGAACTCTCCCTACTGCTGTCCTGGAGGCTTGTTCTTCCTCCCCGCTTTTTCATTACCGGGGAGATTAGAATTTCGCTTGGATGGTTCCAAAAACTGATGAGTCCAGTCAAGTGGAGCTGGCCCACTGTTCAGATGCAGAGCTCTCAGGAGCTGAGGTGCAGCTTGTCTCACAATGCCATCATAATTGAAACACCTTTTCTGACTAAAGCAAGCCCTGAAATGTCAGATGAAATTGGATTTCGTAACAAGATAACCCAGAAGCCAGGGAAGGATAAGGGATGGTGGTTATTTGAATCTCAAGATTTAAATGTAAACCAAAACCATTTCCTAAGTTTTTTTTTTTTTTCCATATCTTTATGCTCCCAAAGAGAAACAAATCTCATGTCTTCATTCTTTCTTCAGGACTCAAAAGTCACATGGATAAGAAGTTTATTGAGAGGGCTTAAAGTATTTTCTCATCCACATTAAATTTCTTCTATTCCTTGAGATTCTGCTGAATCCTGAAAGGGTTTGAGAGAGGATGGTAATGTGAGACTTCAGAAAGAAGTATCTAGAACATATTCACATTAAGAAATTAAGTCTGACTGTCCCATGTAGAAGGTAAAATATATCCATAGAATATATACACATATTAGTCATGTACTTACTGTTTGAGTTTTCTTCTTTTTCTTTTTCATTGACCTGAAAAAACCTTGCTTCTCCTTTTCTTTGAGTTGATCAGAATGACTAATATTTTCAGGACTTTTCCTAAATGAGAAGACATGTTTATCATATGGATCTTTGATTCATTCTCTTGCCACTGTGTGACAAACATAATGAAGGCTGAAAATGTGTGATACCACATTCCATCAGCCAGGAAGTATTTAGCCCACAGGTAAAGGTCCTCTAAAAAGCATGGGAGGAACCTAATCTAACCAGCATGGGGAACGGCTGTTCTTTGGCACAGGCTTGATCACATTAGCAATTTGAGCACTATTACAAATGATTTGTAACTGCTCTTTGGGGCCATTTTCCTGCTGCTGAAAGTCTCTGAATTAGAGATTCTGGAAAATGCATGGTTTAGAGGATGCGTCCTTTGTAACTCTCCAAGGGAAAAAAACAGAACATTTTCAATACCTTCATTTTTCTATTTACCTTTTTAAAAACTAGCTTAACAAGTTTATTATTAGTAGCTTGCCAAGTTACTAAACACAAGAAAAAATGCTGCTATAGAAATATTATAAACAAAAGTAAAATTTGCTCCAAACTGGAAAATTCCTATTTATTAAACATTTAACCTATTATAGCTAAAAAAAAAAAAAAAAAAAAAAAACAAAAAAAAACTACTCAAGAAAAAATGTGGACATGATGTATGCTTTAAGACAGTATGTTCAATGTGTGTGTAATAATCATTTTAGCTGAAAATAGGTTAATATCACATTGCCCAGTCTTAACGGCAATTTTGCCTAGTCTTACTGCAACTTGATATGACATATTTGATTGATATCCATGGGAGGCCTGTCCTTTTCTAAAGAGAAGTAGAGAAAGAAAGGATGAGGGGACTGGAAGGGAAGGAGGGAGGGAAACTGCATTCAGGATGTAATATATGACAGAAGAATAAACAGAATAAAATTTAAAAAGATTGATACCACAGGTAACACTAGGTATCTTAATAAAAATAGAAGATATTCAAAACAGGAAACAAACCAGGTGTGGTGGCATATGCCTCTAGTCCCAGCACTCAGGAGGCTGACACAGAAAGATTGAGCTTATCTGCCAAGATTGATCCTGAAACAAAAATCCACTTATCAAAAAAAAATTCCTAAAAGAGGAGGTAAAAGGAAAAAGAGGGAGTGGGGAACTCCTATGGTTTTTGGCTTACACTCTTTAAAAAGCAATTAAACTGTTATTATTCTTGAAAAAATAAAACCTAACATATTTACATATTCTCTAAAAGTAATAGTGGTAGTATCATTTAAAGTGACAGTTAATTTATATTTATGGCTTCAGAATTCCAAGCAGTGATGAAGTGATATAATAACTAAGAAAATACGACCCAAAACAGCACCCAGCTTATTTCATTAAAATATGTAAGCCAGAAAACTTGTACATAAACCGTTACTGGTTGCATGGGAGAAACCACAATGAAGGCATTAAAAATAAATGACATGAATAAATTGTAATAAAAAATTATATTAAAAAATAAATCACAGCTTCAAAGAATAGCCACTGACATGAAAGAATATTTAAACTATAATATTAAGTAAAATTATAATAATTTTAAGCTTTCTACACCAGATAAGTCTAACTACATGGTAAGAAGGTATATAGGTTTACACATGCACTTTTAATACTTATTTAATTTTTAAAGTTTATTTATTTTATGGGTTTTGAGTGTTTGGTCTGTCTGAATGTGTACTACTTGTGTGCCTGGAGCCCATGGAGGTCAGAAGAGGGTGTGGAATTCCTTGTAACTGAGGTTATGGATGGTTGTGAGCTACCATTTTTACTGGGAACCAAACCTGAATCTTTTTTAGGAATGAGTGTTCTTAACTCCTGCGCCACCTACGTACACTTTTTTGAAATGCAGCATTATGGCATATGCTTATACTCCTAGCTAGGAGTCTAAGGTGGGAATGTGACTTTAGCACATGTGTTTGAGAACAGCGGGACAGTGGATAACACAGTGAGATTGCCCTCTTTCAAAAAAGACTCCCCACCAAAAAACAAAAACAAAAACCCACCAACCAAACAAAGCTTAAAAGCTCTATCTAGGTTGTAGAATTATTGATATTCTTCTTAATTTTTTAAAATTTTTACTTATTTATTATGTATATACAATATCTCATTATGCACCAGATTTCCTTATAGATGGCTGTGAGCTACTGTGTGGTTGCTGGGAATCAAACTCAGGACCTTCGGAAGAACAGCCAGTGCTCTTAACCCCTGAGCCATCTCTCCAGTCCTTCTTAATTTTTTGTGAACAAATATAAACTAGAGGTCATCAACAAGGTGTTGTACAGCACAGAGTATTTGGGGGTTGGGGATATAGCTTTGATGGTACTGATATAGTTCAGTTGGTGGAATGTGCACCTGGCATGCATGAAGCCCCATGTTTGCCCTCGGAACCACGAAAGCCAGACACAATGGCATACATCTATAATCCCAGGGACCAGGAGCACCCCAGGTGTTCTTAAACTCCACTAGAATTGTCGATTTAAGCACCACTTAATAAGTTCCAAGTTCTGTGATTCAATCCAGCCACACTATAACTAATCTGGGAACTCAGAGCAGTACATATAAAATTAACTCAAAAAAATCAGTAGCCCTCCTGTATACAGAAGACAAAAGGGGCTGAGAAAGAAATTAGGGAAACAACACCCTTCCAAATAGCTACAGAAAGCATAAAGTATCTTGGTATAACTGTAACCAGGCAAGAGAAAGACTTGTATGACAAGAACTTCAAGTCTCTGAAGAAAGAAATTGAAAAAGATATCAGAAGATGAAAGGATCTCTCATGCTGATGGATCGGTAGTATAAACACAGTAAAAATGCCCATCTTACCAAAAGCAATCTACATATTCAATGCAATTCCCATCAAAATACCAACACAGTTCTTTACAGAATTTAAAAGAACAATTCTCAACTTCATACAGGAAAACAAAAAAACCAGAATTGCTAAAACGATCTTGTACAACAACAGATCTTCTGGAGGTATCTCTATCCCTGATCTCAAGCTGTACTACAGAGCAACAGTAATAAAAACTGCATGGTACTATCATAGAAACAAAATGGTGGATCAATGGAATAGAACTGAAGACCCAGAAATAAACCCACATACCTACGGATACTTGATTTTTGGCAAAGAAGTCAAAAGTATACAATGGAAAAAAGACAGCATCTTCAACAAGTGGTGCTGGTCTGCCTGGATGTCTATATGTAGAAAAATGCAAATTGATCCATATTTATCACCCTGCATTAAAGTAAAGTCCAGTGGATCAAAGATCTCAACATAAAACCAGACATACTAAACCTGTTAGAAGAAAAAGTGGGGAAGAGCCTTGAACTCATTGGCCCAGGAGACAAATTCCTGAACAGAACACCAACAGATCAGGCTCCAAGATCAACAATTAATAAACAGTAATAAACAGTACTTCATGAAACTAAAAGGCTTCTGTAAAGCAAAGGATACTGTCAACAGAACAAAATGACAGCATACAGATGAGAAAAGATTTTTACCAATTCTGTATCTGTCAGCGGGCTAATATTGGAAATACAGAAAGAACTCAAGATATTAAACACCAACAAACCAAATAACCCTATTTAACAATACAGAGCTAAACAGAAAATTCTCAACAGAGGAATACTGAATGGTGGAGACACACTTAAAGAAATTCTCAACATCCGTAGTCATCAGGGAAATGCAAACTAAAATGACTCTGAGATTCTATACTACACCCATCAGAATGCTTAAGATCACAAACTCAAGTTATATGCTGACTAGGAGTGGAGAAAGGGGAACCCTCCTCCATTGCTGGTGCTTGTACAACCACTTTGGAAATGAATCTGGCGCTTTCTCAGAAACATCCAGCGATACCTCTCCTAGGCATATATCTGAAATATGCTCAACTATGTTACTAGCATCTTTATTCATAATAGCCAGAATCTGGAAACAACTTAGATGCCCCTCGGTTGAGGAATGGATACAGAAATTGTGGTACATTTACACAATGGAATACTACTCAGCTATTAAAAACAAGGAAATCATGAATATTGCAGACAAATGGATGGAACTAGAAAGGATCATCCTGAGTGAGGTAACCCAGACCCAGAAAGGTGTACATGGTATGTACTCATTTATAAGTGGATATTAGCCATATAATACAGCATAACCATAGTACAGTCCACAGACCTAAAGAAGCTAAATAACAAGGAGGACCTTATAGCAGACGCTTAATTCTCATTCAGAAGGGCAAAGAGAATATACACTGGAAGTAGTTGAAGAGAGGGAACATGATGGGAACCTACCGTAGATGTCTTCTGAAAGACTCTACCTAGCAGGGTATTAAAACAGATGATGAGACCCATAGCCAAACTTTGGGTAGAGTGCAGGGAGTCTTATGGAAGAGCAGGGGTATACAAGGACCCAAAAGAGATAGGAGCTCCACTAAGAGACTAAGAAAGCCAACAAATATGGGCCCAGTGGGTCCTTCGGAGACTGATGCACTAACCAAGGACCATGCACTAAGGGCCATGCATAGAGACCTAGACCCCCCCCCCCGCCCCCAGCACAGATGTAGCCACAGATGGCAGCTCAGTCTCTAAGTAAGTGGGTTCCATAATAAGGGGAACAGGGGCTATCTCTGACATGAACTCAGTGGCTGGCTCTGTGATCACATCCCCCTGAGAGGGGAGTAGCCTTGCCAGGCTACAGAGGATGAGCATCCAGGTAGTCATAATTAGACTTGATAGGCTAGGGTCAGATGGTAGGGGAGGAAGGCTCCCCATTTCTGTGGACTAGGGGAGAGGGATATGTGGGAAGGATGGATGGAGAGTGGGACTGGGAGGAAATGAGGGAGGGGGCTACAATTGTGATATAAAGTGAATAAAAAGTTATAAAAAATCCCCCCCAACAAAACAGAACAACAACAACAAAAGAAATCTATAAGGGTTAGATGTGGTTACATGGGTCTAAATGAGATGGTGGGAATTTCAGTTTCTCTAGATGCAGTGCTGTACTGTTGGGAAAAATACTGCCTTCATGAATGCAGTCTGGGGCGGGGTGCAAACAGGCATTAGAAAAAAAAATTTTTTTATGCTAGCAGGAAATGAAAGAAAGGGATACTACTGCAAGGAGGAAGTAGAATTCTACCTGGGAAGATAAAAGTCTAGCCGGGATGAGGTAATGTGCAAGTGAGAGGCTGGAGAAGTTGAGGGCAAGAACAAAAACAGGCAGGAGAATAGTTCAGAGTTTGCAGTTTGTCATTGCAGAGTTGGTCCTGGGAAAACAGAGGGAAGAGGATGAATCAAACCCCGCCCCCCCTCCCCAGGGATGTCTTTAAGGCACTCGATAAACTACAGTCAAGGTGGGGCAGGAGGAATGAAGAGTGAAGCATTTTCAAGCTGAAGCACACTAGGTAGTAGGGCTGAGATGTAGGCAGGGAAAGTTTCTAGGCACAAAAAATAAAAAAATAAAAAAAAATAAAAGAAATTACCCTTGAACAAGATGAAAGCTAGGATTGGAGCATGAGTATGTTTTCATCTCAAAAGACAGAAGAAATGAAGCCTGAGCAAAGAAGAGAAGACACAACAAAAGAAGAAAGCAGAACTACACAGAAACATACACTGAAAAGCCAAAGAGAGAAAAGCCTGCAAGTGAAAGGGAGACAGGACAGCTGCCTAGAAGACAGGCACTTGAAAAGCTGTGTGGTACACAAAGGAAGGAGACTTGAACAAGCAGCACTGTGCCAACGAGGCAAGAGTGAGGCAACTATTTCCCTATGTGGATTTGTGACCCCTATAATTTCACCTGGTACAGCGGGCAGCTTTGGGTGTCACGTAAATTTCAGAGAGGGGCACTCTGAGAAGGGTTATACAGCTAGTGCCCCAGACCATCGCCTTGGGTAACATCTAGCTCAAGAACTATTCCCAAGGGAGTCAAGAGAGTGAGGGAAGTTCAAAGACTCATTGTAATCAAGGAAAGAATTAAAACAAACAAAAAACTGACTTAAAACTAATCAACGCTTATGGAATGTTGTATTAGGTATTAGGGATCAAGAGAGAAATCAACCAAGGAGCCTGACATCTTACTCAAACTGCCCCCAGACTCATGATGAAGAACAGTGGGGCTGAAACTTCAGGGTCAGCCTTTTGAAATTTAATATAATCCCCATGTGAGCAACACGAGAGTGAATGGGAGAGATGGGGGGAGGGGGCATTGCTCTGTCACTTTCCCTGCTTCACCTCTCCCCTGGCAGTAACGAAGGTGGTCAGCTCTTGTGTGACACAAGAAATTCAATGTATGATTCTATGAGAAAAAAAATGTAAGATAGACTGACATGCTATAATGGACACAATATATTCATAACTCTGTAAAAAAGGAAAAAAAAACAGTCATTATTCAAGTGAGTTTCACAGTTCTTCACTTCACCAGTTGGACTTTGAATGAATTTAGTTTAAGTATCAATTTTTAGCCCAAATTTGATGGCAGTTTTTCTAAACTACAGACTTTGTCTTCTATCTTATTTAGCTACGTAGCTATCTTATCTTTCTAATCTATCTGTCTGTCTATAATAAAGTAAATGGCATTCATTTTATAGGCATGCACTCTAAATGGATAGCTATGATGCATGGGATTTTCAGAGGTTTGCGAAAGGACAAAAACACAAATGCTTTGCTCCATAGCTATTGCTTGTGATCCTTCTCCCCTATGGACACTGTGTTGTTAGATGGAACCACAGATCATCCGAATGACCTCAGTACTAACTGCTAAAACTGGGCCAAAGGAGGGAGAAATAGCTTCCAAGTGAGAACTGAAGTGCCATCCTATTAGTAAAGACAATGAATCTGGCTAAATCAAGGCTATTCTTGTTCTGAGCTACTTTGGCTTATTTACCATTTCTTAACTGAGTTCAAGACAACAACGAGGGCCAGCAAAACAGCTCTGTATGTTAGACTACAATATCTATTTATTGCTTTTAAATATGACATAGTACTTCAATCTTTCTATTGCAGCAAATATGTACAGTGTACAAATATTCTCTTTCCCGAACAAATTTAAAGTGGCTCTATTACAGAAACACACTGGACTGAGGTTATGTGATAGTTTAAGAATAGCATTTTACCATGATTCTCTAATGATACTTTTATGTTTATGTTATCAAATGCATAGTTCTTTCAGATATGAAGAATGTGGCAAGACAAAGAGATCTTGGTCAAGAAAAAAGCAAAATGAGTCAAACTTGATTAAAGATTAGATCATACTAGATGTGATACACGAAGAAGACATGCCATTATCAGGAGGGGTAGAGAGTAAAAGAGGAGCCAATGCACAGCTACGGATTCTGGAACTTTCTTAAACCACATAATAGAAACATTAGAGCAAGGACAACTTGATGATGTCTTGGCTAAAGAGTAACATCCCAACTGCACTTCTGGTTCAAAACAACCAATTCCACATATATATTTCTATTCGGTCCCCACAACCAAACCAAATCAAACCCTTAAAACACACACCACAAACAAAATCCCAGAAACCACTCCATTGCTTATGATGTCTGTCCTACTTCAAATTATTTTTCTGGGGCAGGGCCTTGAGATATAGTCTCACTACACATCTCAGGCTAGTTTTAAGCTGGCAATCCTCCTGTCTCAGTCTCCCAAGTGCTGGAATTATAAGCCAATACTACCATGCCAGGCCACTTCATACTTTCAGTTACTTTTTATCTGACTAACCTAATTTTCAAAGGACTATGCTAGTGTCTAACTGATACCGTTCACTGTTTTAGATTGTCACCATTGTATTAAGCAACAGCCAAGAGAAAACAGTTCCTTCTGTATATCTGTATTCTGACACTTGGACATCAATCTCAGGGCTTGTCCAAGCTACACCTGAAAATGGACAACACTGAAAACTAACAAAAGCTAGACCTGTTTTTGACACACTAGGGAACAAAACAATCACAAAGAGGTATGGAAATTTATGAGCAAAGTTAAAAGCAAAATGGTCAACAAACCATGGAAAGAGTAAATTGCATTAGGCACAATAACCGTAACTACTAATCTAATGAGCCCTTATAGCGCCGGGCCCTATTTAGTTGCCTTTTTATATTATATCACTCAAATGTCATAACGATTCTATGAGGGAAGTGCTAGTGTCCCTGTTCCATGTTACAGGTGATCAGCACCAGGTATGTTCTCTAATTTTCAAGCTTCAGTGTGTATGAAATGGAAATAGCCCTTATTTCCAAGGGCAACCAAGAGTACTGAGACAATGCATACAGAAGGCTATACAAAGTGTCAGTACCAAGTTCACTGTCAATAAAAGAATGAATGAAAATGATGAAAGCTTACAGAGCTTTTTTTTTTTTTTTTTTAATGCTAGCGAATAGAACTTCTGACCTTGAAAAAATTACAAAACTCCTCAACATTCCATGTTTTCCCTATTCTTAAGAAAGAAAGGCCTAGTGGTAAAAGGAATACTAGAAAGTTTATCTTGCATATCCTTGAATTCCCATCCACAGTTAGTAAAAGGAATAGTGAGACTAAACCAAAACACTCACCATGGATCAAATCCTGGCTGTCTTTTGGAATGACTGGTACCAGAACTGCTATCAGACGGCAGAGAAGAAACTCGAGTGGACACATTATTTTCATGAAAAGAATTGTCTGGTCGTGGAGATGGCACTGAATGAAGACAAGAAAAGCATTACTGAAGCACATTGTTGCCTGAAGTAGTTCTAATGTTATTCTACAGCATTTTCTTAGACACAAACAAAGTAAAAGTCCTCATCTGCCTTTCCAGAACTTCTGGTTCCTGAGTATGGAGGTGGTCTAGGCAAATTTCCCTCCTCAACTGCTTAAACAGTTACAGGAGTCAGTTATGAAGATTTCAAAACAGAAACCTGGGATGTTAGCTGATACGCTACAGAGTACTTAAGGACATTTTAAAATGGGACATCATTTAAAGTATGACGATTGTATCCATTCCTCCCCCACACCATAGTTTTGGATATTTGAAGTTGAGGCTTTCTTATTATTCTTAGTCCAAATTGTACTTAACAATATATGTATACTGGGACACACAAATTACACTATAATCCTTGACAATGGAAGGGTGTGCCACTTAGATCTTTAAACTGTAAGGACATTTGGCCATTTGCACAAATTATTAATTTTCTATACATTCTCAGCACAAAAAATAAACAGAAATATGAACTAGAATTTATTGAGTGATTCTGCTTTGAGGGAAGGGGTAACCATGTTTTCATCAATTTCTAAACTTGACCATTCTATAAATTTCATCATGAAAGTCATATGCACATTGTATGTCATGATCAGTGACACCAAGTAAGGGAAGTGCTCAAGTGCTCCAGAGGCTGAGGCAGAAGGGCTGACTTGAGATCAAGGACAGACTAGGTTAGAGTCAGTTCTAGGTCATCCTGACTGGGTTACACTATAAAATGTCTTAAAACAACAACTATACCTTTATACACAGAATTATATGCATGTATTATAGGTTTTACATAAATAGTTAATAGTATGATTCCTTGTCACTTTTCAGACATTCTTAGTTATTTAATCCACCTTCCACCTCCTTCTGTATTTACCTCAACTCCCTTCCTTAAAAAGAACCCCTTTCTCATTTCCCTGATCAGATCACTTATGCCCTGCTTTCTCCCTCTTTATTGTTCCCTAACCCCCTATCTTGGCAATCGTCCCATTTCAACGTCCTGGTTGCTTGCTATACAGAGCCTAGAGATCCCTGAGTTGGAAGTGACCTAAATGTCCCCTTCCTGAGGATTGGCTTTCATGGTACCAGAAGGTTCCATCCAAATTTCCAAAGGAGGGAGGCAGCAACAAAACTCCTTGTGGTGGTTTGAATAAGGATGCCTCCTGCAGATTCATAGACTGGAATGATTGGTCACCAGAAAGTGACACTTTCTGTGACCTTGTTGGAATAACTGTGTCACTGTGGGTGGGCTTTGAGGTCTTTCAGATGTTCAAGCCAGGCCCAGTTTCTCTCTCTTACTGCTGCCTGCTGATCTGGATGTAGAACTGTCAGCTACCTTTCCAGTACCGTGTCAGGCTGCATGTGGCCATCCTTTCCACCATGGCAATGATGGATTATTACATCTTTGAACTGTAAGTCAGCTCCAGTTAAATGCTTTCCTTTATGAGAGTTGCTATGGTCATGGTGCCTCTTCACAGTGATAAAAACCCCAACTAAGACACCTACCCAGCTATAATGGTGCTTAACCACATCAAAGACCAGCATGGCACAATAACCCAAACGGTACAGTAGTGATGTGCATACCTTGCCAAAAGCCAACATCTAATTACACTGAAGACTGGCTCAATGAGAGGAAACCATGCCGCATACTGGAAACCTAGCCAACTACTCAGTGCTAGTGAAATCATGGTTCTTGGAGGAGAACCTATGACCACTGATTTATTAGATCATCACAACTCCTAACTACAATCAATCTATAAACATTTGTTCTTATACCCATAGATAAGTATAGTCTTCAACCCTCAGCAAGAAAACTTCTCTTGCAATAGATGGAGACCACTAGAGAAGCTGCAACCAATCAAAAACAGAGTTGTGAAGACCAGTTCTAATGGATACATCTAAAATACACCCCTGCACCTAAGGCTCAGGGAACATTGAAGAAGAGGGGGTGAAAATATTTTAAGAGCCAGAGAATCAGGAAATTTGCTGTGAAATTGTGCTTCCTAGGGATATAAGAAGCTACACCCATGAAGTCTAACCAACATTCCCAAACATGAATTGAACAAGGACAACACCAAAGGATATACCAATGTGGACAGGGAAAAGCCCAGGAGGCCTTAACCTACACAAAGAACTATAGGCAACTAAGGGAATCTGGGAGCAAGAGAGGTGCCAAAGGGTCAGCTTTGAAAACACACATACAAGTAACAAATGGAGGGAGCAGGTTATATTCAGGAATATATATGTAAATACACATACACACATATGTATGTATGTAATTAAAATTAGTGAAAAAGAGACCATGACATTGAATGAGAGCAAGGTGGGGGTAATAGGCGATTTTAGAGGGAGGAAAGGGAAAGGAGAAATGTTGTAATTATATTATAATCTTAAAAATAAATTAAAAACGACAAAAAGTGACATCATTTCACTTGCCTCTGGAGATGAGAGAATGAGCCTATTCTAGAAACATCTGTCTAGATAGATCTGGAGACATCTATCTTTTTTTAACCACTATTTTTCTCTAGGACTTACCGGTATCACTGAAATAACAGATGACTCCAAGTGTTTCATTCAGTTGAAACTTTCCCTTCCATTACTGAACTTTTTTTTTCATTACTGAACTTTTAAAAATTAAAATGTTCTACTTGTCAAATCTCAGAATAGATTATGAGCTAGAGAAAGGAAGTGCTTTTCCCATATTAACCAATTCAATCCATTTGCAACCAAAATAGTATTTCTAGAAGTCAAAGACTATTTCATTGATTTAAATCTCTACTTCCATCTTATCTTAAAATATTCCTTTACAAAAAAATAAAAAAATAAAAATAAAATAAAATAAAAAAATATTCCTTTACTAGGCATTACTTTACTTAACACACACCTATAATTCCAGCATTGAAACATAGAGGCAGGAGGATAGAAGTCAGCTGGAGGCCAATCTGGTTTAAATTGTTAGACCCTCCTCCCCCCAAAAAGGATATTGTCCATAAACATCTGTACATATAACAAAGTATTTTAGAAGAAAAACTTATACTGAAGATGTTTTTACTCATGAACAAGACAAAAAATTTAATTAACTTTAATCTGAATTAAAAGTTTAGCCTTATAAGATTCTAAAGTCATCATGGAATTGGATGGTGTCATTAAAAGGCCTAGTGCCTAATACTTTTTTCCAAGGTAGAGCTGGGAGGGACCATAGTAGCCTAATTGTTTAATACATATCTATACCTAAATAAAACTTGTATGCATTTATTTAGCTCAGATTCCTAATTTTAATGATCAAACAGGGTTTTTTTTTTTTTTTTTTTTTTTTTTGTGTGTGTGTGTGTGTGTCCCTGGCCCCAACTGAACTTCTCCAGCTGTCTAAAACAACAGAAAGCAGGAAGTCAGGCTATTTAGACGAAGAAGTTAAGACTATGGTAAGTCTGACAGACTTTATACACCTGAGCACCCTGCTCATATCTCCACTGAGGCCACGGCATTCTCAAGTATTTGTTACTTTATCATCACACATTTGCAACTCCAAAGCTTTTTTTTCTCGATATGCTCTTTTCTAAACTGTCAGAACCCCAACAACATGTTTTAGTCATCCATTTAACAATAAAGTGTATTTTAAAAGCTAGCCTTGAAGTTTTTCTTTAATTCAATTTGTAACTATTTATAAAGCCATGTCAAGCAGTCCCTGCCTCCTTTTTTTCCTTTCCTCTTCCCTCTCTTTGGGGATCAAATGCAGAATTTCACACATGCCAGGCAAGCACTCTAGCCCTGATCTCTAGCTCCGTACTGAGAAGTTGGAGTACATGAGAGAAACACAGAGAACCAGTGCAAGGTGGTGTGCATTGTATCACGAACAAAGAACAGGTACCATGAAATAAACAGAGAAGAAATGCTTCTGGAGTAGGGCATGGAAGACTGTCACGCTGGAAGAAAACGGTGAAAAACAACTGGTGCCAGGAGGAGAGTGGGGTGTTCCAGGTCATGAAAGAGCCCAGCTGTGGTTGGGCGCGTGTGGATGGAGGTGGGTGGGTAGCAGCCAGAGTGGAGCACAGGGGTGTGATCACAAATAACCTGGCATGTCATCTCAGGGAATTGAGATTTTACCCTGATGTCAATAGGAAGGCATTCAAAGGCCTCTCAACAAGTTAAAGCTAAGTAATTGGCGCCTGATTGTGAGGTAGTGGGGCCAAAGTGATACCGCTCTATTTCTTTCTCCTCTAGTATCATTAACTGACTGCTCTAGACAATTATCACACTTCCTGGGAATCTCTTTTGTAAAAGTGAGAGTAGGGATGGATATTTTTATATGTCTTATCTACTAACATATTCTAGGCATTTTTACACTTTTGGCATTATAATATCACATTGTCCTCTCTAATGCTCTCACTCTAGAAATGCACAATGAAAAAAGTTTCAAAAATCTCAAACTTGGTGTATTGGCATACACCTTTACGCACAACACTTGGGAGGCAGAGACAACCAAATCTCTTTGAGTTTGAGGCCAGTTTGGGTTATATGAATAATACGAAGACAACCGAGATCTACACAGTAAGACCTTGTCTCAAAATAAAAATAAAAAAAACAAAACAACAACAACAAAAAAACAACTCCCCCTTATATATGTGGCTGGGAAAATAGCCTATCGGGGTAAAGATGATTGCCACCAGGTCTCATTGCCTGAGCTGATCCTCAGGACCTACATGGTGAAAAAAGAACTACAAGCTGTCCTCTGATCTCCACAGGTGGCCTCAGTGCCCCTAGCCTCAAAGATAATACATATAATTTTAAAAATTCTCATGCTTTATGGATGTTTATACTTTGGTGTTGAGCTGTGTTCATAGCTATCAACTACATGTAGACATACTACGCATATGGGTGGCAGGTTAAAGATGTATGGTAGGCCAAACTGTGCTGGGCACAAAGTGACATGGGTAAATGTCACATGAATAAATGATATGGTCAGTATCTAGCTTCAAAATAGAATTATGAGGACTCTTTGGATGGGTGCCTTGGAGACAGAAACCAATCAGAGTTCTAGACAGAAGAGACAAGGGACTAAATGATAATGGTGAGACTAGTAACAAAGAGAACTGTTAGATGATGACAATGCAGACAATGTTGTTGATCTGAAGTCTGCTGGGGCAGTGAAAAAATAGTTGTGGACAAGGAAAGGTGATGTATTCAGCAGAAAACAGAGGAAGATTCTATTAAATATGGGAGGAGGGGCTTACCTCTATAAAAGCTACCAACTCTCCTTGGGACAGGATCATTGTACAGATGCCTATTTTCTTTGGGAGCCGCGCCTTCTTCAGAATGTGGGTCATGGTACACTCCACCCTGAGGCAGGAAACAATGTTATAAAAGTTCAACCATGGATTGATGATAGTGCTGCTTACAACAAAGTCCAACCAGTGCCTATTTTTTTCTTTTATCTTTTTGAAGGAAAACTCACACTTATGTCATGAAGAAAACTACTTACTTTCTAAGTCAGTTCAATTAACTTATGGGAGATTTGGGTATGGATAAAGTTTAAAAGCTAGGCTGTAAAGACCTATCTATAAGACCAATCTATAAGATGTAGCAACTCTGAAGAGTTCAGACCTCAGACTTCTGACGGGTGTGGAATGAAGAGGTGCTTTCTCGGGAGGACTCTTTGACAGAAGGTCTCGCCACAGTCATCTCTGGAGGGAGCTGTTCTCCAGGCTGCAAATCAAATTCAAAAAGATTTATAGAAACTACCTATCTCTAGGGATGAAAACTCGTCACAGTCTTCATTTAATATAGCTCGGACCTTAACCAGCTAAAATAAAAATCATGGGGTAGCTTCAACATACCTCATTCCATAAAAAAGTAAAGTATCTGATGAATGTAAAATAAGTCCCACAAATTTTTAACAGATAGTGATATTCTCATTAAAGTTAAGGCAAGTAAGGAATGCATTAGTCTGAAAATAGTTCAATTAATTATTTTAAAACAACAAAAGAAATCACTTTTCTATCTAGACAATAACAGCTCTACGCAGCACTATGCCAAGAGATTCTACCAGCCCATCCACAAGTACTCTTACAGATTTTAGGCTGAGTCCTTTGGAAGAAAACATGCAGAGGCCAAAGTATTTTTCTGGGAGACTTACACAGCAGATGCAGATGAAAAGAAATGTTTTGTGAATGTAAAAAGGAATAGAATAATCCCTCATAATGGTTTTTGTCTTAAGAGTTCTCAACTCCTGTAGTCTATGGTGCTTTTTGCTCTCTTTGTCTTCTCCAGTATGGCAGTTAATCTGTTAAATGTATTTCTTAGATATGGTCATGATGGTGCCTATCTCTAGAGATGCTCTAGAGCAGTGCTTGGCTCCATCTCATGTAGGGTAAGTCACAACCCCAGTACAGCAGTGGGTCTTTATTAGTGTCCAAGAAGGAAAAACACATCACACTTTCTACTCTGGGTTAGGAGGATTAAGGAGTTGGCTGCATTCAGCGTCTACATATTATGCACAAAACGTATTAGCTCAAGCCTAGGTGATATGCATAGGATGTTTTAATTTAAAAACTATAATAAGATTTGGTATTTCCCCCTTCCTTCCCACCACCATATTTAGTGAATTCTGGAAAGAAATTCATTTGGTGCAGCCGTTCTTTTTTTTTCCTTTGCCACCTGTACTGTTGACAAAGGTCCAGAGAAAGATTTTTTTTTTTTTTTTTTTTTTTGGGAAATGAGTTAGTGAGAGTCCTGATGCTTTTGAAAGTAGCCACAATACTTTACATGAGAATGAGCACCATGATTTACTCACAGCTCTTGTCACCTTTCAATCCTTCCAGCCACATTCTAGCCTTCAATTGTGGTCTTTCTTAAGGCTTTGGCACTGCATGTCCTGAACTGGACTTAAGTAACAGCTGGATCTGTGCTAATCCTCAGAAATTGTTTATAATTACTTTATGACTACAATGTTCACAGAAATTCTCGGAGGGCCACTCATTTGTTCATTTTTCAAGGAAGGCTGCCTTTTATTTTTATTTTGTTCTACACTTGCCTTAATGTCAACACAATCTGCTTGTTTTGACTTCTAACTCCCTTCGATAGGCAATGGGCGTGTCCTAGACATCTCTCTAGCTACTCCAGGTTCTTTTATCTTATAGTGAGCTCTCAGGACCCCTTCTGAGCATTCTCATAACTCCATTTAAAGGCCCTGCAAATATTCTTCTCCTGCCCCACCCTTAACTGGGCACCAGGCCATCTTGCCACCATTTTATACTTGGGGGCTTGTAGACTGCCTCAGAACCCTAGCTCTACTTTGAACTACCAGTTGTGGAAGGTTGCGCAGCTCACCCATCTCCTATGAGCCTCATCTGAGAGGAAAACTGTTGGATTAAGGGGCTTAAAAATTCCCTTTCCAACTCTGAAAAGAAGCTCCTAGGAAAGAAACCCTGAAGGCTTCTTCCAATATTGCAACTGGCAAGTCCTGTTGTGTCTACTTCTGTGTGGTCCTTAGGGTCCACTCTGTTTTCCTCTTGGCACTCAACCCTGAATGTTCTCCTCACCTCATGTGAGAATTGTTCAGCTCTTACATTTTTATTTCAACAATGTGAAAGCAGTCGGGATTCATGTAGCATCATGTCTTCCTGGAACACTTTCCCTGTTTTTACTCCTCTTTCCTGCTGCTACCATTTTCCTACCCAAGTGAAACCTCAACCTCCCCAGAGGTATATGCTCAGATTCTACTTCCTCTGGGAGCCTCTAACAGGGCCAAGGCTGGACTAGTACAAGTGCTTCCATCTTTCTTTTGATACACAAGCACACTTCTGCATGGAGACTGGAATAAAGTTTTACAGTATTTGTACAAATAATTTGTCACCAAGCGTCCTCTGTCAGTTAACATACTTCAAAATGACAGGGATGCTTTAATTAAATCTTTCCAATCAGGGCTTCTTGCGGTGTTTAGCTCAGCTTCATTCTTCAGCCATTCATCTGTCTATATAGGCCAGACTGTTAGCTGCAATGAAGCCATTGCAGACTGCTCCTGCTCACAGTGATTTCTCCCTGTTCTCTATGCCTGTTCATAGCCAGTGCTCTAGTAATGCAGGCCTTGATGATTTTGTAGCTTAAGAGGTCAAATGTTTACCAAGGCAACCTGATGGCCTGAGTGAGATCCCTAAAACCCACATGAAGATGGCTAGAAAGAACCAACTTCACAAAGTTATCCTTCCATATGCATGCCACATGTATATCCCTGGCCCATGTCATAAACATAGACATATTAGTAAAGAAATCATTTAAAAAAAAACCAAAGAGCCGGAGAGACCACTCAACAGTTAAGAGCATTCATTGCCCTTACGGAGGACCCGAGTTTGGTTCATAGAACCCATGTCAGGCAGCTCACAACTTTTTCTAACTCCAGCTCCAAAAGTATGTGATATCTCTGGCCTCAGTAGGTGCCTATGCTTATGTGCACACACCTAGACAGAGATATACACATACATACATAACTTTAAAAATCTTGTAAGAATACAAAAGACTGGGTAGTTATCATTTACCCTTGCTGGAGGCTAAATTTATCTCACTTAAGATAAATTTAAAATTCAGTTAATATACTTGGTATTAGCAACAAAGTTTAAACAAATGTGCTTTAGAAACATTAGAGAAAAACACCCCAAGTTTTTGAAATAGCTTAAAGCTAATCCGTGTTGCCAATTTCAACAACAACAACAAAAAATGGTCTGTCAGCAAAATATGTCAGAAAGGAACATTTGAGAAACAGATTGCTAAAACCAAAGTTGAGATGTCTTGAGCACTCAACAGTTGATTTAAATATTTAAATAATAAGTATTATTTGTTTTGAGACAGGGTTTCACTATGTAGTTCTGGCTAGCCTGGAACTCACTATGCAAACCATGCTAGCCTCAAACTCACAAAGATCTACCTGTCTTTGCTACGGAAGTGCCGGGATATGTATGTTTATGTGCCATCACACACAGCTATATTATTTTTAATAGAGATAATCCAAAGATTACTTTCGGTAGAGAAAACCTTTATAAATAGTACTTGTAACACTTCCAAGATAAGCCACCAGACAGATCAAAATGCTAAGTGGTACCTGTGGAGATAAGAGCTGCAGGCTGTTGGCTCTGGCTGCCATCCCTTGTCCTATGCTCAAGCTTCCATCAAGTCCTTTAGCTCTCACTTTGTCCCGGGTCACATACATGGAATGCCTGTGAGGGCGTTGCTGAGAGGAGAAGGGGCTAGTATAGCCTAGCCCATACGAAAATGATTCATGGGGTGCAGATAGTGAATGTGAATGGCCGCTGTCAATGTGTTCAGGCAGCTTCAACTCTTCCATGGTTTTTGAATGTCTAGTGGTGGTTCGCCGTGAGTCCAGGGTGCCCTCGTTTCGATTGTTTCTACCTGAAGGGCTGAGCAAAGTTCTCGTGTCACTGTGCCTAGTGGGGGTTGGGCTGGTGGGAGAGTTCAAGTCCAGGCAACTAGATGGGAAATATCTACTGGTACTCGGTTCCGTGATTTGGGGTCTGGCTTCTGAGAGGTTGTTCACAGACTTGGAGTCACTCAGTGCCCCGTGGCTTTTGGCCTTTGTCCTGTAAGATGGACTCCTGGAGGACTGGGGAATGGTGTCAATATAGCTATGCCGACTCTGCTTCTCACTAGGCTGCAGTGTGCCAGCTTTGCTCTGGGAGCTTTCCATGAACGAGTGCCTGTTCTGCTGAGATCTAGTGCTAGACTTGAGGTACTTTGTGCCTGGGCCTTCTGCAGGCTTTGGGTCAATATTGAAGTCAAACTCTGCTTTAGACTTGGCTTCTTTGGGGCTGAGAAGGTGTGGCAGATTGTTGTTTGTGAGATCTTTGCTGGAAGACCCAGGTTGGGTGCTGGATTGGTACGTTTTGGTATGCATTGGACTGAGAGTAGCTCCAGCAAGGTTTCCATTTAGGAAGCTTTCATTTGCAGGAAGGCCTTCATCAGCCCTGGGCAGAACCACACTTAAGTTCTGAATGTCCTTGCTGTTGGATCTGTGGTGAGTCTGTAAGGCAGCACCCTTGCTGGATGGGTTTCTATAAGACAAAAACAGTCAGATCAGTTTTCTTTAGTAGGAGACAAACGGTATAATGTTTAAAACAAATAAGCAAACAAACAGTAAAAGATAGAAAGAATATACTTAAAACACCTGAATAGCTCAGGGACACTGTGAAGGAAAGAGTGGAAAGAATGTAAGAGCTGGAGGATGGGAAAGACTGCTGTTTTCTGGATCTGACATGATTGTTGCATGATAATAGCGGTGGTTACCTGCAAAAGACTGGGCCCATCAATATTCCATCATGAATGCAGGAGACCTAAGGCCCTACCCTCCCAAAGGAGCTATTTAGACATTGACAGGTTACAGAGAGAGGGATAGTCATATTCTTTGGTGGTGTAGCCACTGGTACATTGCTCCTACTCAAGCTAACAACCCCTTACATGTTGATGAAGGCAACCATATTTATATGCAGCAGACTGAGCACACACACATGAAATGAAAGTTAGACAGGGGCTTAGGAAGAAGGGATTTGTTGGGAGGATAAAAGGAATGGTTTGATTGAAAAGAATACTGTGTGTGTGTGTGTGAGAGAGAGACAGAGAAAGAGAGACAGAGATATTATAAAAGAATAATTTTTAGGATAAATATACTAAAATCTGTACACCTAAAAAAACTAAACAAGAAGGATGACTCTGGCTAAGATGCTTAATTCCCATTCAGAAAGACAAAGAGGATGGATATCGGAAGAGGGAGAAAACAGGGAACAAGACAGGAACCTACCACAGAAGGCCTCTGAAAGACTCTACCCTGCAGGGTATCAAAGCAGAGGCTGAGACTCATTGCCAAACTTTGGGCAGAGTGCAGGGAATCTTATGAAAGAAGGGGGACATAGTAAGACCTGGAGAGGATAGGAGCTCCACAAGGAGAGCAACAGAACCAAAAAATCTGGGCCCAGGGGTCTTTTCTGAGACTGATACTCCAACAAAGGGCCATTCATGGAGATAACCTAGAACCCTTGCACAGATGTAGCCCATGGTAGTTCAGTGTCCAAGTGGGTTCCATAGTAATGGGAACAGGGGCTGTCTCTAACATGAACTGATTGGCCTGCTCTTTGATCACCTCCCCCTCAGGGGGGAGCAGCCTTACCAGGCCACAGAGGAAGACAATGCAGCCATTCCTGATGAGACCTGATAGACTAGGATCAGAAGGAAGGGTGGAAAGACCTCCCCTATCAGTAGACTAGGGGAGGGACATGGGTAGAGAAGGGGGAGGGAGGGTAGGATTGGGAGGGGAGGAGGGAGGGAGCTACAGGTGAGATACAAAATGAATAAACTGTAATTAATAAAAATTAAAATTAAAAAAGAATAATTTTTCTAAAGAGGTGAAAAAGCAGGCACTCAAATGACTACAATCACTGATCATCTCAAAGATGATCCTATCAATAACAAGCAAGTTTCTGAGAGTAAATCACTGAACAATAAAGCACTTCCTGATGAAGTTGTTTTGGCATCCTTAAGCACTTGTCTAACTTGCTGGCTGCCAACACAGTCACTGATACAACCAGGTAAAGCATGCTTTGGCTATGACTGTCTGGTACAGAAATAGCTAATAAGAATAATAGAGCTAGCCGACTGATGACAACTCCTTTAGCTGTGTGAATGTCAGAAGGCAATACTTAGACTTGAAGGTTATTGTGTCCTTTGAACTTCATGTTGTCTGTAAAACCGGTAGGCTGCCTCAGAGACACACTCACCGAACCTATACACACATGGCAACATCTCATCTTTAGCCTGTATAGTCAACAAGTGAGAACTCTAGTGATGGAAAAGAAAATGACACTATGAGAGAAATGGGAACTGACTAGTGAGGTTTGTTGGAAAACATGATGATCTGTGCTTATGTTTTAGAGAAGTGGCAATTACTTGGGGCTCTTGAGATAGCTCCTTGTACATTAAACAGAAATGCATCACTAACATTCAGATATTTCTGTGTAAACTTAACAGGAATCCTATACTGGAACACAGGGTCTTAAGTGCTAATTGCTTGGTAAAAGACACAATTTAGTCCCTTCTTCATTTCACACTTCATTATTCCAAAGTGACCGAGCCCTTCTTTAGGACTTGGAGCTTCATTTTCTACCTAGTGTAATACACAAATAGTTGCCCAGAGAGAAATCTTGTCTTCTCTTTGAAAACGGAAAATGGCATTCTAGAAAAATCAGTTTGTTGTATTGTAACTAATCAAAGGATGAGATTGTGGCTTGACATAGGTTTCAAAGTAAGTAATGATTTAAGCAATGCTTTCTCTTTTTACAGTAAATTTAGAAAATGTTGCAAGTATTGCTACTGGTGAAGATCGATTGATTTGAAAGTTTTTTCCCACCAGACACTAATTGGAAGAAAAGTCCTTTGGGCTGTTGTTGCTATTTAATAAGAATGTCAACCCACAAAACTATGCCTTCTCGTTTCCCCAGATTTGGAAAAGAATTACAAAGGAAAGACATGCTTTGTTTCTTGTTAAATGAAGTACAGAACATAGCTCCAAATCAATAAAATACAGTGCATACACAATAGGGTCTGCAAGACTGACTGCAGGAATGTTAAAAAAATTATCAGACACATACGTATATGATAAAGGGTAGAAAGAAAGAAAGGGTGGTTTATTGTGGCATATTTCAAAAGGTACAAGGGCAAGCTCCTGGCCAGAGAGAATTTCGTGTTGGGATGAAGGATAAGTTCTTTTTTTAGCAGATGAAAGGAAAGTGGCTAGGTCTTATTAGATGATACAGTCTGTGTGTCATATCTGGATGACTAGTGGGCATTTTATTACTTTGTTAGAAACAATCGTGTTTTTGATTTTGAGCCTAGCCCTTAACAGCTAAGCAAACTCTCCAATCCAGCTGTTCTTTCTCCTTCAGATTGGTTACCTATGTACCTAGCTGACTTATCTTCTGGTAGGACTGAACAGGAGAAAGAAGTAACACAGGGAAAAGGAGACCACGGCTAGGATGGGGTGGTGGTGGAGACAGACTTCCCTGTTTGTTCCTGGCCATGCACCCCTGACTCAGGTCCTAGTTCAATCCCTCCAAAGGGCTCCTTGTGCCTAACTCAAGTTCTCCCTGGAATCATATTTTCTCCCTTTCCTCTGAGGGCAAAGATGTAGCAATGACAGAAGTGCTTTAACTTTAAATGAGGACCAGGAAGGAACAGAGAGCACTGAGGAAAGCTGCTAGAGCTGCTAGAACCATTAAGTTATTTCTACAGAAACCTACTTGCTACCATGCAATCTTACATACACTCACAGCATATAAGAGAAAGGATGCTATAAAATTAAGGCAGAAAGAGTTGTCAGAGGTCCAGATTTTCATGTATGTATATATATCTTAAATAGTTAGTCTCCATGTTTCCATTTTAGGATTAATTGGAAGCTCAGAGATTTAGATAGAATAATTCCTATGTAGGAAGGGCATCACATTACCTTCACATTGGAGCTCTGCCAAAGCACAACAATAAAAAGCAGTTTAGAAAATTTCCTAGATTCCTTTGACACACTGCAAAGAATCTGTATTAATCTGCTAACTACTTAAAAATAATTGATGTCTACATCATTCAATCACTTGCTTGTTTTAGAGACAGGACCTCAGATAGTCTACATCAGCCTCAAACTTGAGCAAGGCTGCCCTTGAATTCCTGATTCTCCTGCCTCCATTTCCTGAGTGCTGGAATTACATGTGTGTACAACGGTATGGCTATAAATCACTCTCAAATGGTTGGCAGAGTAGATAAGTGGATAGACAATTAATATGTTTACTTAAAATAAGCTGAAAAGCAAAAATAGCCAGGCATGATGACACAAACCTCTAGTCTCAGCACCTAGGAGGATGAAGGAAGCTACAAGTTCAAGGCCAGACTGGTACATTCCGCAAACCAACAAGCAAAGAGAGACAGAGGCACAAAACTATATTAATATGGGGCAGGTGGTAAACAGCATCATTGAGAAGGACCAACACACCCAAAATGACATCACACCACACACGCGGTGAGAAAAACCTCAGAAGAGCCTGAAGGTGACAGCAGGGGACTGAGTCCACTGCCTCCTACAGAGAAAATGACTTGGGATATAGGGTGACAGTGCACTCTCTAGGAACAAGGCAGAGGAGTATGTGAGCGGCAACAAATAGATACAGTGTTGTGAACATATCTAAAATTGTCTAGAAGGAGAATTCATATTCCTGGCAAGCTAGGCTTCTACAGAATAAGTATGGACCACAGACAAGAGTGGGGAGAAAGGCCTCAGATGATGGAAGAGTACTAAAAGATAAAACACTTAGGACTTTCCCTGTAATATATTCAACATATCACAAAGACCTGAAAATGAATTCTTCCAGAAATTTTTATTTATTCACAATTCCTGTCAAGTTAGTCTCTGTAAAACTAATTAATATACAGCCTTCTTTCAGACTACCGGTTATAGCACTGATGACTAGAGTGCAACTTAACAAATGTATCACTGGTCTACCAAACCTGACATCATTGTGATCATTTTCTTTGTAAATCTAAATTAGAGAAGTCATGTAGCAATTCAAGTAGAAAGAAGGGAGACTAAAAGCCCCAGACCAAGCTGGGCACAATCCCAGAAAAGATACAGGAATAATGTCAATCACCCAAGTGTCAAGGAGCAACCAAATGATGACAGGTCCTTCATGGGTTATTATACTGAAAGCTTGTGGATGTTAACAGTGAACAAACCAGCTAAGAACAGCTGAAAGCTGTGCCATCACAAGTAGCTGTCTTGAAGAGTAAATGCAACACAGATGGTGTTTTTGCAGCTAAGCAGTGCAAAACAGGACCAACGCTTCTCCTAATTTATGGCTGCTTTTCCAGGCCTCAAAGTACTAGGTCTTGACCTTGCAATATTCCAATCTATTAGGAATAATTTTCCATATACGGAAGAAAATTCTGCGTGTGTGTGTGTGGGGGGGAGGTAGTAATCAAAATTTAAAAGCTTCATTGTTTTTCATTTTTTTAAAGTGAAATAAACTACTTTTACATCCCATATCTAAAAATCTTCAGATGACAAAACTGGGTTCTGGAGGATGAAGGAACACCATTCTCCTGTGAATGCAGCAACATAATTGGAGAATGTCAGGACAGGAAAGGCAATCTGACTAATTCAATAGAGGGGAGGAGGTAAAAGAGGGGTGAGAGAGAGAGAGAGAGATGGAGAAAGGGAGGCAGGGAAGAAGGGAGATAGAGATTGATTGACTGGCTGATTGATTCAAGAAACCAGTTTTCAGCCAGATGTGGTGATGAGCCTGTGATCCTGGCATTCAGGAGGAACACAGCAAGTACTGAAGCTTGTTTGACTACCCAATGAGTTCCTCAGTGCTAGGATTACAGGTATGCCCGGGAAAGAAACAAATATTTTTAAATATCATGCTCAAAAAGCACTTTCAAAATGTACTTCTTTTAATTATTGATGACTATTTCCCTATGCCTTGGTTCAGTTTTGTTCAGTTCCCCACACACGTGTTCAGTGTTTTCTTTCCCTTTCCAGAACCCTCTTCTTCTGTAATTTACACAGAATCTGCTAGGTCTTAAAGCTGTCTTTGATGCTAGAAACCTCCTGGGCTGCTAACTCAAATGCAGTACTTCCTTTCCAAGCAAATACATAGTTTCATCATATACTTGTTAAATATAATAAGGTCTTTAAGAGTCCTACACAACTCTGTAATTATAGTTCTGAATCATGCAATAAGCATGAGGAAGATATTTTTGAATAAAGAGGGCTTTCCTTCTTTTCTCTAATTGCATAATTTTAGAAGCCACCTCCTCCACCTACTTGTAAGACCATGACTGCATTTGTATTCCCTTAGAAGGGAATATTTACCTATTAGACAGTGTGCTGCTTTCCACATGATAAGGTTTCCTTTTTGTTGACCTAGAAGGAGAGCGATCCAAGAGTCTCTGGGTTTGAAACGTAGGGTGATTCAAACATTGCTCTGTCAAGTATCTGTCAGCTGGGTCCAACTTCAGTAAGTTCTTAGGAAATAAAAGTTTAGGAATGAAAAAAAAATAATTGAATTTAAACTCTACCCCAGTCTCTGCAAAATACCTAGCAACAACAGTTGAGGGAAAAAAAATCATCAAAGTCACCCACAATCTCCTCTTGGTAGAGAGCTTTCTAGTCCTGCTTGTGAACGTCATACATAGTGTTTCTTCTATAATACCCGCTCATGATGTACACATGTTTTTATATCCTGTCCTTTCCAGTTACTTTATGAATAACATTTTTTACAATACAACTTAAACATTTAAATTTTTTGATAAGCATATATGTACATTCTTCATTTTTCTACCGTCTTTAAGATACGTAGTTACTATCTCTGGAAACAGTGCATGTGACCATTTCCATTCCATTACCCATGAGGCCTATCCTGCACATACTTTCATCTGATTCTGTTCATTTTACTCCAATAGTAGTAAGCACATAACCGTATGTACTTAGCTTCCCTTCCATTTACCATACAATGTTAAGATAATTCCAGGTAAGTATAGAGCTTTAACTCCTGTGTGTATACTTTATATGTTGTTTTCAGAAATTCCCAAATGACAAACATTCACATTGTTTCCTTTTTCTTAACAACTTGGGAACACACCATCTTTTCCTCCATGTATTTATTTACTTAACCATTTTACATCCCAATCCCAGCCCCCCCCCCCCCAGTCCCATACCCACACCTCTCTTCTGTTCTCCACACCATTTTATAAGGCTCTTTGGGAAGAAAGGGGAATGAAGGCAAGTCCTTGTGCATGCAAAGCAAGGGTATTACAACTAAGCTACATCCGCAGATTTTACAGTAAGACTTTAAATAATTACAGAGAAGCCTGTGGGATGGGTCTATCATGATTTACTTAGCAAGCATGCTATTGCAAAAACATTTTCATGAGAGCCACTTTTCACTATTATGATTAATGCTATGGCAAAAACACTTGAGGTCTAACGGATTCTTAAAGATGGTACTGGTAGGTGTGCAGAGAGTTAAAGGATCTTTTCTCCATGCTGTTAAATTACCACTTAAGAAGATTACCTCAAATTATACTCCTCTCAAGGAGTATATTAAGTCTATCAATTTCTAGACTCTTAGACCATAGGCATTCTCATTCTTGTTAGTAGTTGCAAATCAGGTATTTAAAAGATGCTTTCTCACATCTCTTTAAAAGTATTATTTTATGTGTGTATGTATATATGTGTACCATATGTGCGCAGTTGCCTTCAGAGGTTGGAAAATAACATGAATCCCCTGGAACTGGAGTTACAGGTAGTTGTGAACTATCAACATAGTTGCTGGGAACCAAACATGGGTCCCGTGTAAGAGCAGCAAGTGCCTTTCATCAGTGAGTCAATGCTCCAGTTCCTCTCACAAATGTTTGCCTTATATTTTTGACTTTAGCAAGCCTGAATACTTTTACAGGTTTACTGGTGACCTTTATATTCTCTCATTCATTTTCCATTTTTTGCATCCACCTTTACTCATCTCTAAGTGTTCTTTCTTTACCAAGGCCCTAACCCTATATTTTATTTTGAATTTTGGCAATTGAAATGTTTTCTCCCAAAACTGTTTATCTATTAGTTGGACAGGATTTTTATTTTGATTGATGAAATTGTAAAATATTAAAACCCGTAACCAGCATACTCTAACGTGATATAATAAAGTACTGAAATTCACTTTTCTAAGTTTTTGCTATTTTCTCTCAGAAAAAGGAAGAAGAATAGAATTCTACTGTTCACAAATTCATTCCTAGTTCAGTTTGGTCTTACCCATAATGAATACCTTTAGTTAAGTAGTGAGGGCAATTTTGTTCCCAATTAACAGACTTCAATTTCAAACCAGCACCACCGAACATTTCAATTCTAACCCTACCATATACTGACATATTTATTTTGATCCAAAGATTTTAATTATTGAAACTTAGCCATTAATTACATGTGGATTTATATCTATATTAACTTAGACACAATTGCAAACTTAATCTCAATTCTTTTTTCTCCCTTATTATAGAACAAAAACTGTGATGGTTTTAACAAGTATTTCCAACAGCTACAATTAAAATGGTTTCAAATATAAGAAGCTCATTAAAAAATCAGCTCTCAAGAAGTTCTTTTAAATTCAAAGCACCCATGACCTTTCAGAAGCATAGGTGTTGTTTTCATTTATTTGATATCATGTAGAATTTACTGTAATACAAAAACTACATTTATATGCTATGAATACAGATGTCGATTTTCAAATTACTTTAAAGCATGAACTCTTTATGAGCAAAGTATGAAATTTACCTAGCTAAGAGTTTTTAAAATTTAGCATGTCAGGGGGGCATGGTAGCACACACCTGTAATTCCAACACTCAGGGAAGCAGGGGCAGTTGGATCTCTGTGAGTTCAAGGTCAGCCTGGTCTACAATGTGAGGCCAAGACAGCCAAGGCTACACAGAGAAACTCTGTCTTGAAAAACAAAACAAAACAAAAAATTAGAACATGGGGGTAGGACATCATCATTTTAAAAAATGAAAGTAAGGCAAAACCAATTATTGTAGATATTTTTAAAATTATTAAGGGCATGGTCATGCATTAATTCTAGTGATTGTTGTCGCTCTACTAAAATGACTGCTATAAAGAAGTACAAGATGAAATGAACAGTTTAATCATTAGATGTGGATATAATTATCCACTCTCCTTCAAATTCATGGCCTCTTTTTCTTACTAATCATCATTGCATTTTTAACTTAAAAAAAAAAAGAAAAAAGTCAGGAAACATAAAATTGTAATTAATTCCATTGTTCTACTCTGTTCTATTTATATTTTAAAAATTACTAAATGAGTAAGGTCCAGATTGATAAGTACTGACTACATGAAAGAAAGTATTGGCAAAACCTAACTGATCATAAACCTAATAACGTTTAATTAAACTCAAAGAGTTTTGAAGGTTCATTAAAAAATAGCAGTTCTCAATCTGTGTTAATAACACCAGTGCTTTATTAGAGTTTGTACAACATAGTATTTGATATTTAATTAAAATTGGGAAAAGTTGAGATAGAAATGCTTTACTGTGAGAGTTCTGAAATCTTTTATAGGTTAATGAACACTGTATACCTCTAGAAAGGTTATACGGTATGTGACATTTCCCAAATTCCAGAGCCCCTACTCCAATTCTGGCCCCGCACCTATTTACACTCTTCCCTGGGGCACAGATGACCATACCCTAAGACACAACAAAGTTCTAAGAATGCAGCTTAGTAACTTGCCACTGTGCTTAGTCTGTCTTTTAAAGTTTCTGCACACCATGTAGCCCCCACATTTTGAGAGCTGAATGAGTTGGATTAAAACAAAACTGATCCATAATTAAGCACTGAAGTTTTACTCTGAAACAATGTTTGCCTGTACATTTACTACCTGAAACAAAAACTGGAAGTATAAAAAATAGGTTTTTTTTAATTTTTTTATTTTTTTTACTCAAGGGACTACTGTGTACTGAGGCAGATAATCTTTGTTTACTTTCTTATTTTTGAGACAGGGTCTTTGTAGCTCAAGCTAGCCTCAAACTTAGAGCAGTCCTTCTGTTTCGGCCTCTAAAATGTTGACATTATAAGTATGTGCCATCATGTCCAGCAAGAAAATCTTTAAAAAAGAATTTTGAGGCTGGAGAGATAACAGCTAAGAGCACTGGTTGCTTTTCCGGAGGACCTGGGCTTGATTCCCAGCATCCACATAACAGCTCACAACAGTATGTAACTCCAGTTCCAGGAGATCTGATGCCTTCTTTTGGATTTCCTGGGCACTTCATAACATGGCATACAGACACACATGAATACAAAATGCACACACACATACATATAATATATATAATAAAAATAAGTATTAAAAACGAATTTTGAGGCTGTTTTTAGTGGTTTGGAGTAGGATGATTCCAGAAACGCTAGTATGAGGAAGAACACTCAGGCAAGGATGTCAGTAGTGACCCTGATACATTTAAAGAAAAGCAATCTGCCTAGAGGAGAAGCAGCCTAGTCAGACAAAAAAAAAAAAAAAAAAATTCATTGATTCAATGTGTATAGACTGTGAGGGACTTTAATGTTATAGAAAAAATAATTGTGAACTCTTCTGTCTTATCCACTTTAAGATTTGTTTTAAAACATATGCCCAAGTGGTTCTTGAATGCCAACAAATATTCATTATTCTGCCCATTTTAGGAAAGTAAATGAGGTATTACACGCTCCTCTCTAGATGAACTTAGACAGCACCAGATTCCTGGTACAATTATAAACAAATTACACGCCCTATAACATGACATACTCTCCATTAATCATCTACCAACAAAATATTTAATTCATAAAAGCAGGCTATGGTCCTAGAATAGGCAGAGGAAAATCTACAAGCCAAAGGACTTAAAAAAAAAAAAAACTTTTCACTAATTATTTACTATAATCTACTCACTTTGTATCTCAGGACTTTTTTTTTTTTTAACAAACATACTTTTCTTACCTTCATTAGGTCAAGCAAAACACTATTTAAAATTCCAAGGTATCTTCTTTCCAGTGACTGAGGATGGTTAACGGCCGGAAACTGTGAGGACAACACAACATGAAGGTTAGCACTGGAGGAAGGATATGCTTGTGAGGGTTACACACGGAAGCACATGGACAGAAACCACTGCTCTCAGGCCAACCCAAGCCAAGTGACTATTTATATTACTTTGGCGTATTATGGACTAATAGGACCCAAAACTAAATATTGGGAAAAACATACAGGTGAAAGGTGATCTCTAAAGCTAGACAGACAATACTGAAGCTTGTAAAAGGAGTAAAAGCCCGAGCCTGTATATCTTGAATCTTGTCTGCTTATACATCTTGCTTCTAAACAATTTATAGACAAATTTTGTCTGTTTCACTAGACAATTCTCAATACTGACAGACTAAAGAACTAATAGAAGGGCCATGATATGATATTACTTAAAGATGTCTTGGCTTTTCCATAAGAATGTGTAACGTACTCTTAAAAACGGAGACATAAAAAAATGAAAAAAAAAAAAAAAAAAAGGGGGCAGCAAGAGGCCAGAACTGAAAGGTTCTATTTGAAATAGTACATTTAGGCACATGTTTTATTACTCTTTTTAATATACTCTTCTAATGATCTGTTTTTAAAATATTAACGTTGTAACCAAGGGCAAACATAGGCACCTAGATCAACAAATTCCTTTTTAAATAACGAAAGAGGGGTTGAAGCTTCTATTAATTCACATTTGAAAATATCATGAGTAGTACTGAAGCACCATGAGTAAGATACTGGCACAACGCGACCGCTTATACACCTTCAAAATACTGAGTGCTGGTTGCTTGTGATGCTTATTTCTTTCATATCAACGTAGGAGCACTTCAAAGTACAGAAATCCTTAAACATGCTTAACAAAAGGACAGAAGGACTAATTACGTAGTAACATCAAAGAAGACATATTAATAAACACTGTGCTACCATCCCCACATTATGTTCTGTAGCACAAGAGAGACACTTGAGTAATTTGTTGTCTGGTTGAAAAGGAATTGATGAACTCTACATCTGCAAATGAGAAGGTAAAGCCAGGCATGGTGGCACCCAAGAGGTTGAGGCAGGAAATGCTTGGGTATGACAACAGCCTGCAGATACGTAGTCAGTCTCTGTGGATACCCTGAACTTAACTTTGAAAGAAAGATAGGGAAGTAATGCTCTGCAAGGAACTTTAAGTGTCATAGCGTGACATTTTAGAGATGAAAAAAATAATCAGAAAGTTCAAATAACTGGTTCAAGGAAAACGGCATAATTAATGAGCAGAAGAACTATTTGCCTGTGATTCAAACCCTCACTCTTTTCTAAAATCAACTACCTCTCCCAAGGAAGCTGCAGAAGTTCCTTTTGATGGCACTTAAAGCATTAACTATCAGCCTAAAGGGAGTGACACCTGTCACACCATGAAAAAAGACCCTCTATCAATAAAGATTAATGAAGACTTTGCTTCTAAGGTCTGTATCAGCATCTGAAAAGGGTCATGACCCCTTTTGGGGGTTGAATGACCCTTTTACAAGGGTCACATGTGAGATATCCTGCATATCAGATATTTACATTTTGATTCAAAACATAGCATAATTACAGTTAATAAATATCGATGACAATAATGTTATGGTTGGGGGTCACCACAACATGAGGAACTGCATTAAAGGGTCACAGCATTAGGAAGGTTGAGAACCACCACTGGTCTATATTATTGTACCACATACCTTGCTTTTCTTTCTCCAGGAATGACATTTCATTGAAAACAAAGTTAATTCTGATAGCCAAAAGGTCTTAGGAAAAGAACAGTCAACAAAATAGACCAGGACAGGGAGTTTGCTGTGAGATTGTGTCTCCTGGGAATGTCAGAAGCTACACACATTAAGTCTCACCAATATGACTGCCTAATCATGAGCTGAATAAGGAGGGTACCAATAGATATGCTAATGTGGACAGGGGAAGCTCACATGAACTCAACGCTGCACAAGGAACTACAGGCAACTTAGGAATACTGACAGTGGAAGGAACAGTCTTCCCCCAGGGAAGAGTACACCAAATAGTCAGCCCTGAAAGCAAACATACATGTAACAATATATAGATTGAGCAGCTTAGAATTAAGAGTAGATAGTAGTTGGCCACATTGGTGTGCACCTTTCACCTCTAAGATTACAAGGGCTAGCCAGGTCTATAGAATGAGTTCCAAGGCTACAAAGACAAACCCTGTCTTGAAAAACCAATGGGGAGGGGCTGGAGAGACAGCTCAGTGGTTAAGAACACTGTTCCTCTAGTGGTCTTGATTTCAACTCCCAGCCACCACATGGCAGCTCACAACCATCCATAATGTGATCGGATGCCCCTTTCAGTCATGCACATACAAGACTTATATACATAAAATAAATAAGTCTTTAAAAATAGCAAAACCAAGGGGGGAAGGGGGAGGAGGGGAAAAGGGAGGAAAGGGGGGCTTTTTTACTTTCTTAATCATTTGCCTAATATAATACAACGTATCTCCTTACTGAGCACTTAGCTTATTTTCAGTGCTAGAGATAGACTCAGGACTATGTGCATACTAGGTAAGAACTCTACTCTTCAGGTATACCCTGGCTCTTAGGGCATTTCACATAGATTCTTTCATCTTCATCACCTACCACTGTTTCACATGTGAAGAAATTAGAGGTACAAGAGAAGAAAATAGGATCTGTATGTTATTGACATAGTAAATATGGGCACTCTAATGGTCTACTTCCACTATGGTGCATTGATAATTATTTTTCCAAACAATGAATATACGTAGAAAGACTTTTTTTTTAAATTTTCCAGTCTGTATACAAGTGGGTCCAAATACACATCATGCTGGATTAGTTACTGGTTTGTTCATGGTTTAGCAGTAAATGCAGTTCATGGGCCCTATGTGTTGAGCTGTCACAGACATTCTCACAATATATCATAAAGAAAATAAATTTTCCTCAAAAGACATTGTTAAGCCTCTGAGGAGACTGCACTAATTTGTTTAGACACCACGAACACTTCAAACTAAAATGTAAACATAGTAAAGTCTATAAAAATCAAACTGCCCTAGAAGCAACTATTTCCCTGCAGGCTATTTTACAAACAGAGCTGTCATATGTGTCTAGCATTTTGTAGATATTGGTTGTTTAGTGAGGAGGTCTGTGAACAAACTGGATCACAGACAAAAGAGAAAAAGATTTTTTTTTATGGTTCCTCTAAATTTGAATGTGGCCTCTAAGTCTAACGTGAGTTATGTTTTAAAGATCCATCTTAGATTTCAAATCCTCCCCAAAGCTGTTCCAATGAAACACCAGATATGATTTCTAACTTTGTAGAATGTGTGACATGTTCATGCTCTAAATCACAATATGGTAGAAGCCGAACAAGAAGTCCAGGGCTTTCCTATAAATTTACTGTTTCCCAGTTACTTCAGTATGAGATTATTTTTGATTTCCTCTGTGAAGTTCTGATATCTATAAGGTATAAGCATAGCCTATAGAATACCTGCATATAAGATGTTGAAACAAGAGGTCAAGGCAGTCTAAGGCCCTAGCAACTTAGTAAGACCCTGCCTCCAAAAATTTAGCATCTATGAAGAACTAAAAAAAAAAAATAATAATAATTAATTAATTAAAATAATAATAAGCACCCAAATCCTAGATCATTCAATCTACAAATGGGTAAATGGATAGAACATATTTCTCAAAAGAAAGTATACAAAAAGCCAATAAACACTTGAAAACAATAATCTTAGCCATAAGGGAAATGACAAAAATGCCTTGAGAGTCTATCTCACCCAGTCAAAATTAAGAGAACAACAGCAAATGCTGGTAAGGATGTGGGAAGAGAATTCCATGTTCACTGCTAATAGGAATGTAAACTCGTGCAGCTACTATAGAAATTAGTATGGAGGGTTCTCAAAACAGCAGAAACAGAACTACCATTTGATCCACTACTCTATGGTATCTGCCCAAAAGGAACTGACAATGACAGACCACAGAGTTACTAGAATATTCATACTCAATACAGTATGAGTCACAATAGCTAAGATATGGACCCAACCTAGATGCCTATCAAAGATGGATAGATAAAGAGAAGGTAACATATGGGGACAATCATTAAAAGAAATGAAACCATGTCAGCAGTACAGAAATGAATGAACTGAAGATAATCAGGTGAAACAAAATAATCTGCACTCAAGAAAACAAATATAAACTTTCCCTTCATATGTAGAATGTAGATTTCACTCTGAGGCACAAGGAAGGGGTCTGGACAGATGGTGAGATTAGACAAGCCAAGGTAGTAGGGAAAGAAAGAATATATCACGTTTTATCTCATATGCAAATCTAGATGTGTGTGTGTCTCTGTGTGTGTGTATGTGTGTTTGTGTAAAAAGAAGAGGACTATTTTGGAAATGAGGTCAAAGAGACCAGCAAGAAAGGGGAGGAGGAAGGATGTGGGAGGGCAATGAGGGTGTTGAATAAGAGTAAGATATAATGATATATATGCATGAATATAATACAAATTATTTTATATACTAACCAAAAGAATAGAAAATAAAGTAGAGGTAAGGATAAAGAAGAGAAAATGTCTTAATTCCTTAGTTGGTTTCCAAGCTATTGAATAGGTGTAGAAATGTCAAAAGTTGCTCACTCATTCAGATACCGTGGCATAGATCTAACCAGGCCTGTAATAAATCAACCAGCAAACCAAGTTTAATGACATTATGATCCTTCAGCCAACTATTTATTCAATACTAGGCAACCTAGCAAATACCATTTAAGAGATGCTATGAAGGAAGCAGTTTCTTTTCTCAAGAAATTCGTGAGTCCAGTAAGGAGGCATTTGTGCAAACAGCTACTTAACTGAGTATGCAATAGGTGTGACAGAAAAAAAATACGATCAGTGTGCTACAGGGACTCAAAACAACCTAGATTAATACTCAAAAAGGGATTCATAGGCTTCCAGGTCTGTGCTCAGAGCATCAGAGATGTGGCAGTGCAGCACTACAGAAGACACACACCATCCAAAAGGTGGCTGGAGAACACAGGAAAGAGATCAGGAAAAGGGATGAGGAGGCCAGAAAGTCTTTAATGATACACTTTAATGTCAACGAATAGCTCAAAGTTTATCAGAAATCATAGAAAGTTTTAAGCAAAAGGGAGACAGATTTAAATGTGTGGTTTGAGAGAAAGTGCAAGAGTTCAGCTTGCAAAGAACTCACAGCTCAAGCAAGGGTGGTAAGGGCAAAAGCATTAGAGGCAGAGAAGGAGGGAATGCAATTGAACTTGATGGTTCTGTGTTAACTTAAGCATTATCTATAGCTTGACAGAAAGCTAGAATTTCCTGAAAGGAGGTCTTTTGAGCATGTCTGGGTAGGTTGTCTTGATTACCTTCCTTGATGTAGAAAGAGCCATCTAAACCGTGGGCAGGACCATTCCTGGACTGTACAAGGTGGAGAAAGGGAACTAAGCAATAGTTCGCCCCTCTGCTCCTTGACTGAAGATGCAACGGAACCAGTTCCCTCAAGATCCTCCAGTTGGGACTTCACATACCATGATGGACTGTAATCAAAACTACGGGCCTGAACTCTCGTCCTTAAGTTGCTTTTCTCAGGATATTTCATCCTAGCAACAGGGAAATAAACCAGGACAATATATATTTTTGTGTTTAATGTTGTAGGTGCACTGATAACATAGGCAATTTATGTCCTCGGGAAACTTATGAGTTAATAGAGGAAACTCTGACATTGAGAAAGAACAATTGAACAAATCGTTGAAATAATTCCATGTTAAAGTGGTATGATAGGGAAAACGAAGGGGATCACCAGAGACAGGAGATTCTCTTTGGCTTGAGGTTACAGAATGAGAAGAGGTCATGCAAGGTAAGAATGCTCCCTGGAGAAGAAACCACTAGTTCCAAGTTCAAAAGGTATCAAAACCTTGGGACACCTATAGAGGTCAAAGAACAAGCAAGTATGATGAGAATTTAGAGGGAGGCATATGAAGACAAGTATGAGACAAGGTCAGGGAACCAAAGGGCCCCTGTCATGCAAGGCTTCACAGGCTATTGCAGAGAGTATAGAATGATTCTTAGTGAAACAGAAATACAATAATTATGACTACCTTTATTTTACTTGTGAATATATTTGCCTTTCTGTTAGACCAAGAGCAAGTCCTATTTATTGTCACATTTTCAGTATCTAGTACGAGAAATGTTCCATAATATAGAACTATCTCATTGCATTACATGCTATTTGTAACAGAGACAATGGTCGTAATCGGGCAAAAATGAAAGGAGGAAGACTAGTGTGAGGTAATGTAGGCACATCTGGAAAAGGAAGTAGAAGCTAGGATTCTGTTGTATATTCACATGTGAGCAATAGTGTTCTCAAACAAACAAAAAAAAAAACCTAACTGAGATCCAGGAAGTCAAGAATAAAAACCAAAGTGTTTAGCAAATGGCGAGAAAATACCATGAATTTGTTGTACCATGTTAACTGATGGTTGCTGAGGAAAAAGAGTCACTTTCTTTTGGGGACATAGTTGCTGGTAGGTCCCTCATACACAGACAGAAGCACTAACTGGACTTGAGGTTATCAATAACAACAAGGATAAAAATAACAGAGAACATGAAGTTTAGAGGGAGGTGAGATGGGGGGACCCTAGAGAGATTTGGAGTGAGGTAATGGTTGGACATGGTTCAAATGCATCTTATGATTATACATTTTTCAAAGAATAAAAAATATTTAGGAAATATTTTAAAAAGATAATAGCATGGTTTGAGAATCATACATTTGACTGGAAAAATAAATAAAAGATCAGATGATGAAATTATTTTATAGTTTCTACAATGCCTACAAATTGACACATTGGCTCAAAACTTAAAAAGCTGCTTTTGTGGGTAGATGAAAATAAGGAACAGTCTATAACTCACTTGTCATTCAGATGAGGTACCTCTGGCAGTTACATGCTCCTCATTTGGGAAAAGTTTATGATTTTGAAAATGTTTTTCATTACATTCCCAGCAAACAAGTCTCACACAAACATAGCAAGGCTTCTGACTTCTACAAAGATTTAATGTTTCACTGTCAATCTGCAAGAAACATCTGTGGCACAGCCCTTCTAAATGTGCAGAATGCAAGTGCACATGGCCATCTTCAAGTCACCACAAATGTAGTCACCTAAGTAAACACAACCCACTCACACATTTCCATCATTTGGAGATGCTTAAATGTTCGAACAAAGAGACAGTGTATGATAAAGGTTTGGGATATTATAATGTATATTCTATAGAGATTTTGAAAAATCAAACTTTACAGATTAGAAAAAGAGAAATTAGCAGACCCAACCTGACACTTGTGATTAGTTTTTACGTTTCACAAATACTATATAAGACTCAGAAATAAAATAGGATAGTGAGGATTAAAAACCTGTAATGGGAAGGGAAGAGCACGGAATGCATAGCTTAGGGTTCCATTGTGCAAGGAACAGAGAGTTAAATACTGCCAGATTGACACCATTTTGTATTTTATCAAAGCCTCTTACCCGGAGCCCATGGAAACGAGGATTACTATAGAAGAGCTTCATCTGCTCAGATGGAAGTGGTCCTAGCACCTTCTGAATAGTGAAGAGTTGGTCAATTTCACTTTCTCCAGGAAATAAGGGCTGTCCATCGCTAAGCTCCCCAAGAATACAGCCTACTGACCACATGTCCACAGACTTTCCATAGGGAGCTCTGAAAACCAAAAGAAGAGATGAGCAACTGAAGATACAAAATGGTTTAATAATTCCCAACTTATTTTAGACCAGTTCATGACTTAAAACATGCATGTACTTAAAAAATGTAAACGGGCCATTAGTAAAAGTTAGACTGGAAATGAGGAATTAGAGCTCTATAAGCAAAAATTTAGAACATAAGTTCATAACCCATACTCACAAAGAAATCAGTGCATATCTTGAACATGAATGGCTTTAATAAACCCTAATGTTGTGTACACATTGGATGAGAACATATCAGAGAATGAAATGTTCCCAAGAAATGTATTTTCAAATAATTATACTTTAAGCTTGCTGAGTGTCAAATTTTATATCCATTTTTGAGCTTGAGTCTGTAGAATGTTCCATTGCTTTATGTACCTTAAACAAATACTGAATGTTATTTAACTTCTGATTGCTTAGTATCACAATTTCCAACAGCTAAGATTACTTACTTGAATATAAGGCATTCTAATAGCTATTTACATCAAATCCTGTTTTTATGTACTTAGGGGTTTATAGTTCTCCTAGAGGACCTGAATCACTAGAGAGCTATAGAAAGAGAGTCTGTTACAAATGGAGGTCATAAATGAAAATCTAAGGCTCCCCAAAACAGCCTTAATAGCTAGGTACCTAAAGCCTAAAATAAAATTATTTATGAGAGTTTTTAAACAAAACCTATAGATAGATAGATAGATAGATAGATAGATAGATAGATATACACCATTTTAAACATAAATAATCTGAGCCTTAAAAAGGAAAGGCTGAGTAAAATACATGAAAAATAATTTCAAATGAAATTCTAGAATGCCATTATAATAATACAAAAAAGAAACTAGAACACTGTTAGCATACAGAATATATTGAGGTTAACAAGTTACTATAATAATAATTCAGTGTTTCATTTATCTCATTTCCTTCCCCTACACACACACACACACACACAATCCTAAAACCATTAAAGAAAGCTCATTTAGACATTTTTGGTAGCTTTTTGGGCAATGACACATACTGATTTTAAAAATATTGTTTGAGATAAAGAAAACCTGTCCTATGGTACTTAATTTAGAAACCTATGGACAAATCTTAGACATTCATGATAATCTATTTTAATCCTATCATGTAATTTGAACACTTTAGGCAGCTGAAACTGTTTTTAGATATCAAGGACAAAGTCGTTGGAATGTATAAACATTTAGACTCTTAATATAAAACCAAATATCAACTGATTTCAATAAAAATTTACACAAATAGTATGGTACTTAAACTAGAACATGACAATCAATTCAACTGAGCTCAAGTTGGCTGTGCTATGTGCATCTATTTTTAGCTGCTATTACACATATCTAAACATAACCTCAGTTTTCCAATGGGTACCATTAAAGAACAAATGCTTTCCAGAGATTCATTATAAAGCCATCCTCACAATACATTCCATGGGGCTATTTTATAGAAAAACAAAAAACATATTTTAGCCAGATGGTGGTAGTGCATGCCTTTAATCCCAGGACTCAGAGAGCAGAGGCAAGTGATCTCTGAATTCCAGGCCAGCCTGGAATACAAAGCGGGTTCCAGGATAGCAGGAGCTGTTAGACAGAGAAACCCTGTCTCAAAACAAAACAAAACCCCATTTTAAAGATTCCTTTTACCATACTTGAGCTCTTGGCTTCAGTTCTAAGACTGATTTTTATTTCCTACTCATTTCTTCACTGGCTAATAGTGCCCAGTAAATTCAAAATCCAAATCCCTCAAAAAAAAAAAAAAAAAAAAGAATACAGCACTACAACTCTCCAAAGGTAGTCAGGACAGATGCAGATGAATACAAAGAAAACCAATCCTACGATCAAGATCTGAAATTAGCCCAAGAAGCTGGGGAGATATCTCAGTGAGTAAAGTGCTTGCACTGTAAGCATGAGAACATGAGTTTGCCTCATCAGCACCCACATAAAAATCTGGGTGTGGTAGTGGATACTTGTAATGCCAGCACTGGGAAGCAGTGACAAAAGGATCATGAGCGCTCACTGGCCTGTCAGTGTAGCCAACCAAATAAGCTCCAGGTTCAGGAAGAGACCCCTATCTCAAAGAAATAAGGAGAACAATAGAGGAAGAAACCCAATGTCAACCTCTGATCTCTCCATATGCACTCATGGTGGTATGTCCGTGCACATATAAACACACACACACACACACACAAGCATGCCTGCATATATCCCCACAGGTACACAAGAGCACACACAAATTAGCATGGAAATATAAAACTTGGCCCATTCAAATGGTAGTGATTAACCAGGAGTTTTGATTTAGAAGAATAGAAAAGATTTTTAAAACATCATTTTTTATTGACTCGAGATCAGCAATAAATCAAGAATTGTATCAGATGGTGGCTGGTAAATATTCGAAAATGAATAGTTAACATCCAATAAACTCTCAATGAGTGACACATCAAGTCACCAGTGCAATTTAGAACTACAAAATTTGCATTGCTATTACATAAATGGTATCATTTAGGAATTAAATTTCTCTTATTTCCCCAGACACATGTACATTGCATGGAAGGAACGTGGTAAAATGTATGATTTGTATTGTTTTCATTATCTATCAACATGACTAATTTTATTTGTTAGAGTGTGTTTTCTTTCTCTGTTATTGGGTTACAAGGAAGGAACTAGGGGACTATGAAAAATAAGAAAACAGTATAATTTAGGAGAGGTAGAAAATTATTAATGAGACTATGTGATGGAGATGCAGGCTTCAGCCTCCTTTTTGACTGTAAAGTTAAAATACATTAGCAAAAGAACTCTATCAGAAGGTTTTCTGGTATTAGTGGATGAATGACAGGCCGCTGAGTGGAAAGGTGAGCAAAGTGGATGAGTGTGGATGGAGACGCTACTGAAGACAAAACCAGCAATGTGAGTCTAATATGAAGAGCCATTCATCATCCAAGGAGATTTACACTGTTCAAAAGAAAAGTGATAATTGGTTCAGAACTGACCCTGTGTCTAGGAAAACGGCTGCATGGAAACTTAGGTGTGTGTCTAATGTATCAACAAGTAAGCCAGACTATCAAACTGTCCCCATTACAATTCATCTTTAATACTTCTCCTAGCAAGATGTAGGATTTTTTTTCTTTTTTCTCCGTACTTTGAATTGCATCTTGCTCATGAGACATGCCTTGATCAATAAAGGCGAATGCCATACAAAAAAGAACTTGGAAAGTATCTTTGCTCAAGGGCTGAACTTCTTTTTTTTTTTTTTTTTTTCTTTTTTTCTTTTCTTTTTTAGTTTTTTCAGGACAGTTTCTCTGCGTAGCCCTGGCTGTCCTAGACTCACTTTGTAGACCAGGCTAGCCTCCAATTCACAGAGATTCGCCTGCCTCTACCTCCTCGAGACTGGGATTACAGGTATGCACCACGGTGCCTAGCTAGGGCTGAACTTCTTGATGCATAGAATTCTCTTGTCAATTTTAGAAACTTGGACTTGTTTATTGAGAGGTAAGTAGTGATGGATTCATGATGGTCTGCCAGAAGCTAGGAGAATGGGTCAGTTGGTAAAGCGCATGCCTTGCAAATATGAGGACCTAAATTCAGTACCCAGAATACATGTGAAAATGTTAGGCATGCTAGCACACACTTGTAATCCTAGCACTGGAGAGGCAGAGAACAGAATCACTGGGGTTCACTGTTGAGGGAATCTAGCTTAACTGATGAATTGTAAGCCAGTGGGAGACCTTGTCTTACAAAAATGACTGCATGCCCAAAGAATGACATTCTGGCCTCTACATGTACATATACACAACGACCCCCCCGCACATATACATGCAGAGGAAACCAAAAAGGTCTATCAGATACCAGCTGAAGTTCTATCAAGTAACTCGCAGTCAATCTGCTAGCCAATTAGCTACCATCAGAGTGACTCCAAAAGAGGCCACTCAACTGAACTCGTTACAGTTACTCAGAACTGTGATAAACAAAATTAAACTTGTTTCATAGCATCAAGTTCTTGGGTGCTTTTTTAATTTTATTCCAGTGACTATGCAACTGATATACATAAGTAACCAAAGTCCTTATTTTCTATTCGTGATCCCAATGCCAATTATAAAGCAACAATAAATGTGCATAGGTCACTCTATTTCAGAAAGATAACTTACCCAAGTAGTAGTTCTGGGGATCGGTACCACCTTGTAGCCACATATTCCGTGTAATTAGCATTATTGCCCTCTGAGAGATTGCGAGCAAAACCTGAAAGAATGGTAATATACTGTTAGCAAAATATTACATCTCTAGTGATACTTTATGGACTGTTCATTAAAAACGCCTTTATTTGAAATAGTTCGTATGTTAAAGCATGTGATGAGTTTGCTACAAACTCAGTCTTTATGCTGAAGATATCCATGTTTTCAAATTCACCCTGTGTTTTTGGAGGCATTCAAATAGGATCTCCTAAAGTTGGAATTTTTAGGAATAAAATTAAGTGCTCACAAAGGCCAGAAGTTAAAGTCACACCAGCATTAATTCTGCTATGTGAGACCTACATTGTATTTGTATATTTTCTGATGCTGAGCAGTTCCAGTCATTATATAAACAATTAACAGTTGGCACTGATAGAAACAAACAGGCTGAAAATTACTCTTAGCCCTTAATGTTGTAAAAACGACTTAAGAACATCTTAATTACCTTACAGACACTAGCATTATTTTTGTCTCTCACTCTTTTCAAAGGTTTTTGACACATAAAATGAAGCAGGAGAATAAACTAATTACCCATCTAACTCACCAAATGCAATGGAGGTCAACCACCAGGTTGATAGAGAACTAAAACATTAAAACTGGAGTAAAAAATTAAGGTTCCTGTCAGTTTGAGACGCAAAAATTATCATTTCTTAAAGTGAAACAAACAAAAAACAATAGTAAAAGACAGAGCTCCTAACTTCAGCTAATCAATTCTTATTACTGAAGCATTCGTTGAATAACTATGTGCAATTCTCAATGAGGCTCTTCAAGCCAGACAAAGGAGTTGCTTTTCTGCCAGGGAAGGCAATTAATTAGAAAGTCCTTGATGGGGCCCACCAGACACAGAATGTCACATGTACTGCTGCCAGAAGGACTTCTTGACCACCTTTTAAAGAAATAATGCCAGACAAACAGTACTCTTTTCCTCCCATCATTAATCATTCTTCAGGCATTTCTTTTGTACTTAAACCTGCTTTATAATCTTCAGCCACCTTGGATCTTAACATAGAATCATGGAGGCATAGTAAATAGAATCTGAGGGACACAGAGTCTTTTGACCTGTTGGGAGGTAATCATAATTACAGACATCAATTCATAAATAGGAAATATTCCTGGAAACAAGCGGAGGCCAAAAGAGAGAAGTTAAACCCCTTGGAACTGGAGTTACAAGCAGTTCTGAACTGCCTTGTGGGCACTAGGAACTGAACCCAGGTCTTTTTTTTAAGAGCAACAAGTACTCTTAACCACTGAGCTATCTTTACAACTCCCAGTAATATTCTAAAAGTTGCCATTTTTTAACCTAATCTAATACAGATTAGGTAAAAAGATAATTTCAAAAGCTGACCTCCTGGGGCTGGAAATGTGCTCAGTTGGTAGTCTGTGCCTAGCATGCAGGGAACCCTGGGTTCTACCTCTAACATTGTATAAGCTGGGTGTGATGGCACAGGACCATAATCCCAACACTCAAGAGGTGGAGGCAGGCAGATTAGAAGTTCAAGCCACCCTTAGCTACATAGTAAATTAGAGGCCAGTCTTGGATACATGAGATCCTATTTCAAAGTAAAATAATTTTCATATTTAAGTCAACTGTTGATTACTAAAGATAACACAAACTTTTTATTTTAGTTGTCCAGTTGTCTGCTTCTTTTCGTAAATGCTCCTTTCTGACAAATTTTATAGAACCATGACCTAAACACTACTTGGCTCAAGACTGTAAAACTTTTCTAAATTATTTAAACTATTTAACAGCATTTAAAATAGAACTACCTACATGAGAAACAATACAGATTTTCAGTAGGATTATTAGTTTTACAAGTTTTCCTATATATTTGAGAAATAAGAGTATTATACAGCAATTCCACTTCATTCATTAAATACTTAACAAGAATAAATTGAAGCATAGACATCTCTAAAAATGGCTTGCTTTGACCTTACAGATACAACCACTGTATGCATAACATACATAGGTGTGAATAAATATGGGCATATATGTAGTAGTTATGAGTCAGTTTAGAACATTTTCTCTAAATATTAAAAATATTTTATCGTACTCAAACCAGGAATCCATAGTGATGGTTCAAAAAAAAATTCTAATTCTGAGGTCATTTGGTATATTACTCCTAAATGACAAGTGAGTATTTGCTTCAAACAAATTTCCATTAAATAATTATATAATTTGTTAAACTTACAGACAATACACCATACAGCAAAGAGAAAGTGAAGCTATCCCAGCAATCAGCTGACAGCATATGACCCAAATGAATGCTTTTTGACTAATTTAAATCAAAACATAAAATTACTTTTAGTAAAAAAAAAATTACTTTTAGTATACCTTTAAAAGTTACCCATGTGTTACATTAAATTAATTCTCTTAATATAGGGGCTCATTTTTTTTTTTTTAACTCACCAAAGTCGCATAGTTTCAGAACATCATTGTGGCTAATTAAGAGATTTTCAGGCTTTATATCTAGAATACCAAGAATAAAAAACAAAACAAAACAAAACAAAAAAACCAGTAAGTAAAAACGTTCTATGTTCCACTGATTGACTAGAACACTGTGCAGTGTTCAGAAGAGTCAGATATTTTATGCCGCTACATAAAAGTTTCAATTATTTTTGTAAGAGACATGCAGACTTCAATTACCAAGAAGATCCTTAAAAGCTCCAAACCTATTTCTTTCCCATTCTCTGCTAAGGATTGAACCTAGAGCCTATAGCATGTTAGGGGATACACCTTAACTCTCTAAGGAAATTTTAAATGATTAAATTTAGGCCAATACGTTTCAAGGAATAATTTTTGCTGCAGAAAACAGTAAAAAGACAAAATTTTGGAGACCAAACCTAAGATTTTTATAATCCATATGCTATCTTTAAAAAATATACACACCAGTAGTTAAATAGCATAATATTTATTGGAGGAAAACTACAAATAAGCCGAAATTTCTCTGTATAATTCCTATATTCACATACCTACTTAGCTTTCCCATGTGGCTCAACTAACAACATTTATTGTTGAAGTTGCACCAATAAGTCAAGTTAAGATGTCCATTAAGATGTAAAGATGTGATAGGAGTTGAGGAGCAGAAACTTGCAAAAAAAAAAAAAAGAAAAAGAAAAAAGAAAAATGGAGCTGAACTAAACCACCGAGAGGCATCTTTCAATGTTATTTGTAGAAACAGGATCTCATGCATCTTAGACTGGCCTCCAACTCCTATGTAGTCAAAGATGACCTTGAATTCATAATCCTCCTGTCTCTAGCTTCCGTATGCTCAGAATATAGGTATATACTGCCATGTGCAGCTACAACTTTATTTTTAGAGTTCCGTAGTTACTATCTATATTACACAGTAGAGGTGAAAGTGAGGAGAGAACTGTGGAAATCTACAGATTTCCCAATCACAGAACTGTGTTTTCAATCATGTAGACTGAACCAAAGGTCTTACACATGCTACTCAAGCACTGTGCCATTTACAGCCCCAGCCCTGAACCTTAATTCCTACCATTAATCAGCTATACATTTAATCAAAGCACAGTTTCATAATGGAAACACAGCTACCCAGCTCCTCACTAACGTGTTAAAGTGTAACACAGGTTGTTCGTGGAACCGTTACCTAAAACACTAGATGGCCAGTTAACCTGGCGGTTTGTCTATGACATCTGCAGTCTTGATAACAGGGTAACTACTGTGAGAGTCACATAGTAGAAGCTGGAAATCTTCATACCTTTCAGCTATTCTTAAAAGTAACACTAATTTGAAGGGGATTATCCTTGCACATTTGTACAGATAAATTTGGTATAATAATAATAATAATAATAATCAGCAGCAGCAGCAACAGAAACAACATCATAACACAAAGATAATACAGATAAGAAGTAGATGTGTCAACATTTTGTTAAAACTTTTCGCTTTGGAGGACTCCGAGATGGTGGTGACCAGTGTGCACCATATTTGAGGAGCAGAGGGTCCTAAACTCTGTAACTGGAGACTGTCAGATGGGCAGCTGAAGCCAGAGCATTGACTTTGAGGCTTCCTGGGCTGGAGGGGACAAGTGGTGAGCTGGGAAAGATTGGATACAGACCCTCCCTCCCGCCGTGGACATCTCCAGGGTCTGAGAGTGGTGTACTATCCACCCCTGCACTTTTGGCTACAGCTTCCATTGTTCCAGCAGCTTTCCAGTGGCTGCATAATGCCAGGTATGGGGACTCCTTACTCTGAAGGCCACATAGGGGACCCAAATCTGAGAATAGAAAACTGGGGGCACTCTGTGTTATCCACACACCTGCAAGTGAGTTTACAGGCCCTCTGAGCTTTCCATAGGCCTGTGAGTGAGTGCTTCTGCCAGAGAGTGCTTACAGAGCCCCAGATCTGGGACCCTCTACAGTAGGAGCCAGACAATCTGATCCCTCCTATCCCCCAACCCCTGCTGTGGGCAACAAAGAAATCCCTAGGACAGCCTCCTGAACTTTGAAGCCCCTGTTCTGTGTGTCTTCCAGCAGAGTCCAGCCAGACGATTCCTAGAGGCAAGATGGTGGAGCACTTGGAGCACAAGACCTAGACAGGCCTGTGGCCTACTGAGCCATTCAGGGCTCCTGCACCCAGGCACTGCAGCCTGCAAACCCTCGCTGCCCCTGCTCCACAGCCTGCTCTTAATCTCCTCCCTTACACTCCCTCCTTCCAGGCAGGCACACTCCCACACACACACCTGCACTTGCACACATTAGCCTGTGACTTTCCTCCCTGAGCTGCATCTGAAACACCAACACCCACTCTCAAACCAGTGGACTTCTCTCATCTTCCTGAAGAATACTCCAGACTCCAGAGGCAGATGGACCCAGTCTGCAGTACAGGCTCCAGGAACAAAGGCTACTGACCATCAGATGGCTAGAGGCCAGTTTAAGAACACATCCAACAAAAATCCGGAAATCATGGCTTTACCTAAGGCTGCCCAGTCTCTCCTTCTCTCTTTAACATAGTACTTAAAGTCCTAGCTAGAGCAAAACAAAAACAAAAACAAAAACAAACAAACAAACAAAAACAACAACAACTAAAGAAGATCATGGGAATACAAATTGGAAAGGAAGAAATCAAAGTATCACTATTAGCAGATGATATGCTAGTATACATGAGTGATCCAAAAAATTCTACCAGAGAATCCCTTCAGCTAATAAACTACTTTAGCAAACTGGCTGGATACAAAATTAATGCAAAAAATTCAGTAGCCCTCCTGTATACAAAAAAAAAAAAAAAAAAGATGAGAAAGAAATTAGGGCAACAACCCCCTTTATGATAGCCGCAAATACTATATAGTACCTTGGTGTAACTCTAACCAAGCAAGTGAAAGACCTATATGAAAAAAAAGTCAAGTGTCTGAAGAAAGACATTGAAGATGATATCAGAAGATGGAAAATCTCCCATGCTAATGGATCAGTAGGATTAACATAATGAAAATGACCATTTTACCAAAAGCAATCTACAGATACAATGCAATTCCCAGAAAAATACCAATATAATTCTTTACAGACCTTGAAAGAACAACTTTCAATTTTATATGGAAAACAAAAAAAACTCAGAATTGCTAAAACAACCTTGTACAATAACAGATCTTCTAAAGGTATCTCCATCCCTGATCTCAAGCTATACAATAGAGCAACATTAATTAAAAACTACTTGGTACTGGCATAGTAACAGAAAGGTGGATCAATGGAACCAAACAGAAGACCCAGAAATAAACCCACACACTTATGGACACCTGATTTTTGACAAAGAAGCCAAATCCATTCAATGGAAAAAAGACAGCATCTTCAACAAATGGTGCTGTCTAACTGGATGTCTACATGCAGAAAAATGCAAATATTCATTTGGTATTAGGTTGGTATTAGGAGGAATGAGGTAGGGGGCCACAGCCAGGATATAAATTGAATAAATTGTAATAAATGATAATAATAATAATAATTTAAAAAATAATAAAAAATTTAGCTTCATTATTGCATCAAGTTGTGTCCCATTGCTGCAAAACTTTACAGTGTAAGTGAGGTTATTAGAAAACAAACATTAGAGTCAGAATGACAGAAAAGAAATCATTTTCCTTATTTCTGAAACCACTGACTTTATGGTGCTAAAGAAGAAGGAATCTAGTTTAGAGAAGTATCATCATGGCCCATACAAGGCTGATTATACCTTCAACCTACAGAAAGGGGACACTTTCCAGCAATAGGGAGAAGAAATCAGGAGGTGAAAATATATCCTAGAGATTCCTGATCTAAGACAGAATGAAAGAAGAGCTCTACTGGAGGCCCAGGCACCTAAGACCAGTTTGAAAGCCTGGTTTTTAAATTGTTTCACATTCCCTGATCTAGCTGTAAGACACAAAGGTATGGGAACTGTCCTTTGGACATTCAATTCTAGCCCAAATAAGCTTCAAATTTTGCAGCTGCTAACTAATTAACTATTGCTACATTTCACAGCAGACTTGGTTATACAAATAGAGATCACCACAGTAACGAATAAACTTATATGCTGCCCTTTGGAGGGTATAAGAGGAGATCCGAAGAGCAAAGGGCTTACATAGCTCTTCCTTTAAAAGTATGTTTTCCTTAAATAGACATGTTCTCCAAACAGGAAATCTTTCATTTTAGCTGACACGTCATATTTCTCTTTTTGAGCATCTGTACTCACCCCTGTGGACAATGTCGTTCTTGTGGCACCAGTGAATAGCTTTGATTAGTTGGTAGATGTAGCTTTTCACTTTTTCAGGTGGCACTCCGTTGGGCATTTCTTCCAGCAGTTCAAGCATATTCTAAAAGCAAATACAGAGCCATTTATGTCCAAAATTAGACTCTTTAGCACCTTAGATAAGGATTCATCCAATATACAGCATGTATTATTTTTTTACGTTTGAATTTAATCTATAACTCAGTTTATGGTGGATCAGGATAGTACATTGAATAAAAGTTTTTCTTTGTAAGAAATAACATTTCTATTACTCCCTACTGCTTGCCTTTAATACTGAGAAGGGTAGGGGTAGGGTAGGGGAATGAGAGAGTAAGGGAGATTTCCTTTTGATTAGATTTATACATTTGGTATAAAAATTAAAACAAGCTAGAAAATAGAGCGCCCAGTGAGATAGCTTAGCAGAGAAAGATGCTTGCTAATAATGCAAACCTGACAATTAAGAGTTGGATCCTGAAACTCTTCTAAAGGCGGAAGGTGATAAATAACTGAACAAAATTGTCTTTTGAACTCTGCATGTGCAATGTGGCAACACACACACACACACACACACACACACACACACAAATACACTAAATAAAAAATTGAAAGAAGAATATATTGTTAAATAAGCATGCAAACCCTAAACAATTCAAAATTGTCAAACCTTGAGTTAGAGACTATTTTTGTATAAAGTTCATGCAAAATTTTCTGGTAAGTCAAGTATCAAGATGCATGTCTGTCACCCCACCACTTAGAAGACATTATATAGTGAGAACCTGTCTCCAAAACCAGTAGAAATGCTAGCCCAACGCTTCCCTTAGCCAGTCTCCACTTCATTAGCATGTTAACCAAACATTCCCCACCTCTTCTGCAAATCCCAATCACTAACTAAGGCTCACAGTGCAAGCTTAGCTTATTGCTTGAAGGTACCCACATAGAGAAGCCACTTAAGAAGTGTAACCTGGAGACAAACAGAGGCTCTGATGCTGCTCAGAGGCTCGGGAAGTCACAGCAGCTTCATCACAGTACTCATAGGTTTGCCTTTTTCACTTCTGGCATTTACACCAATGGTGCACAGCAACAATGGGTCAATTGCTGGAACATTAACATGAATCAAAGGAATGGAATTTGAAATCCAATTGACCCCTTGCCATTCCATTAAAAAAACAAAACAAAACAAAATAGCAGTTAGTTGAAGATGCCCTTGATGATGTAGAAAGTATTATGTTTATGAAATTTTGTTATACGTTTGTAACAGTTAAGGGTTTTTGTTTTGGTTTGGTTTTATTGAGACAGGTTTCTCTGTGCAGCATTGGCTGTCCTAGAACTCATTCTGTAGATGAGCCTAGCCTCGAACTCACAGAGGTCCACCTGCCTCTGCCTCCAGAGTGGGATTAATGGTATGTGCCACCACTGCCAGGCTGTAATAGTTAAGTTTTAATGGTCAAGTTGACACAATGGGAAAGGAGTCTCAATGAGGGATTGCCTAGATCTGGTTGGCCTCTGAGCAGGTCTGTGGGGGATTGTCATGATTGCCTTGATCGATGTGGAAAGACTCAGCCTGAAAGTGTGTGGCACTACTCCTGGGTTTGGGACTCTGAACTGTAGAAAAAGTACAGAATGCTAGCTGAGCATTTAGCATGCATGCATTCATTTCTCTCTGCTCCTGATTATGGATATGATATAACTAGTTGGCTCAAGCTCTTGTCACCATGACTTCCCTGTACTGACAGACTATAACCTGGCCTTGTGAGCTAAAAGAGACCCTTCTCCTCTAAGTTACTTTTGGTCAGGGTATGTTGTCACAGCAACATAAATGAAACTAGAACACATGTCTTAAGAATCTACATGCCAACTGAAGAATATCCATAGAGTACTTCTGCCACACACATGCCATTTAAACGATGACTGCTGTCCTCATTTGGATGCTCAGATGCATGCTGTACTAGCTACTCTGTGTTGTACCATTTTCTTATTAAAAACAAACAAACAAACAAACAAACAAACAAAACAACTGAGACGCTATTCATGTTAACATTATTGGTTTTTTTTTTTAAATTTTGCTTTGCTAGGTAAGCACTCTACCACTGAGCTACAACTCAGCCCCAAACAAGTTTGTTTACATTGCTCAACTTTGTCTAATATGAGAAATGCTACTAGACAAAAGCCACCACAAAAATTGTAAAGGCTCCCAACAATCAACAATTAGATCTTTATCAACCACTGAAATAATGTTTCTTTAAAAAGAGAATTGCTGTGCATATGCAAATCATGCTTAATAGTTTAGAAATACCCAACAAAAGAGAGCCATGAAATGCATGTCAATGGTGAGACACATGCATTAAGCACTGTTAAGAAACAGGTGCTGGCACTGATAAGCATAAATACTGACAGGTTCTGCATGGAGATTGCTTTCTAGTTTTTTGAGCCTTTGTTTCCATTTAAAGATGCATTTATGAACATGTTGTATGAAACAAAGACCAAGAAGAACTTTAATAATATGCAAAACATCTAGACCTACCTCCCTAGAGGATTAGATGTCTATGGTTTTAGTTAAAATAAAACATCAAAAGAATGTCCTGAGCTTTTAAAAATTGCTATGAGAGCTGCCCCCCTTTTTTTTTTTTTTGTCAATTGTTAAATATGTACGAGATGCAAAGAACAAGAAGGCATAGGGGGGTTGAATAGTAGAGAAAATATGATGATCTCTCAGTTCATGTTCTCCTCAAGGCTCCTACATGGCAGAGATATGAGCACCCTCCACAGCCACTTTTCCTTACTCCATCGGGAATACAATTTCCAGCCACAGACTTCGGTACTCAGAATGACGAGTACATGAGTACATTTCCTCTCTGCCCTGTAGCCAAGTGTGACCATCCAACTATATAGTAGTTAACTGGATGTGACAGCTGGGGTTGACAATAAAGACAAGGGAGCAGGCTGCCCTTCAGTCTTGTGCTATCTCCTGTTGCATATATTGGTGAGGAAGAAAGAAATTCCTATTTCGCTTAAGCCATTGTAATTGTGGGTCTCAGTCCACAACTCCCTATCTTGTTTGAGCATCTTTCTTCTTATAGTCCCAACACTCACTGTAAATTGCCAGGCATTGCTACTGGTGGGCATGTGTAATGGTTAACTTCCATCCAAGAGTCACAGGGGTAGAGAAAGAAGGCCAGGCCTCAGTGGCAGAAGGTTGCAATACTGGTGACAACACTGTCACTTGTGAGCAGACAGCTTTCAGATTTCAGGCATGCCAAATTGTTTCTCCCAGAGAGAAAACAGATATACGGAGGATATATCTCTATTTGATATACTAAATTGTTATTTATCATAAGCCACCACCAAGAATGCAACAAAAATTAAAAATAAGATAAAGTGAAATACTAGAGGAGTCACATTTTCTTATTTGGCTGTGAAAGTTGAAAACTGCACAAGTATTTGTGATAACTGGAAAATAAGAATAATCTATTTTTTTGCAGTTCTAGTATAGCAATATTTTTCTTAAAATATTTTTTTTTAGTTTTATTTTGATAGGGAAATACCAAAATTAACACATAAAACATTTTTGGAAAAGTAGTATAATAACTGATTTAAAATGACAATATATTAACCACACTTAAGGACAGGCCCCATGCCCAGCAGGAGATGGCCACACAAATGAACTCAGTGGTATATTGCACTTATTGTTCTTTTTTCCTTTGTTTGGCCATTTTTTTTTCTTACTGGTCTTTTGCTTGTAAATTATGGTTTCCAAATTTATGCTTTTATGGACCTTGTTTTTGTGTACATGTATGTGTGAATTTCTTTTTTAAAATTTGGGTTTACTTGTTATTTACCTGTTTGTTTTCTAAAGAGAGAGAAAAAAGGGGCATGGAATTGGGTAGATGATAAGGTGGGGAGGACCTGGAAGGAGTTGGGAGAGGGAAACCTCATGATCAGAACATTTTATATAAAAATTGTTTTTAATAAAGATATATTAAAATATAAGAGTCTTATATATTTTAATATATTTTAAATTGTCCTAATAATTATTATTTTATCTTGTTTATTTAAAAATATTTTGTAAATGCTGAATAAACTCAAAGCCACATTACCAGTCACTCTTCTAGAAAACATTGCTTTCATGTCACTTATGTCACAATAACTACCAGGAATTAATCAACAGCAAACAGAAGCCTTTCCAGTTTTAATCTGTGTTAGGTAACAGTCTATAAAATTATCAGAAGCCTCCTATTCACTCAGCAACAAAACCTTCAACAAGCAACTCTGGTTCCAGTTTCTCCTACTGTAAACAGCTAAAACAAACTGCTCAAAGTCAGTTGCCCTCTAAGGAATTATTAGACAGCTAACCTTTGAGCCTTAGGTAACAATATTAAGATGTTCATTATCAGTTAGCCCTCTTTACAAAGTACTTTCTGGTAATCTTAAAGGCAGCTTCAGGCCTTACCTTATAATTCCCTCAAGAAAAGCAGAGTACTGGCAGTTCCCAAAAGACTGCTTCTGCTCTTGCTCATTCATCATCCTAGGTCTGATTAAAGGACCCAACTCCTGCTTGCATAGACCTGATGTGTGTATCTACTGTCCTTGACCATACTATCCATTCACCTGTTTATCTCACAGAGCTTTTGCTGATGTTTAATTGAAATAAATCTAATCTTAAAACCACTTGTACCTAGATGCTAAGACTTTAGAAACCATACACTATGCTGTTTACACTTATGATCATCTGACTATTTCTAACTTGTACAAAACCCCTAGATCTATTTTAGGACGTCTAATGACTATGGAAGATATTTTCATTTTTAATACTCTCAGATCATGAGTACATTGATAGAGCATGCTAAGCAAAACTACCTTCTTCAATAATGTCATAAACAAAAACAAATAAGGTGAATCTGCACACTGGTAATTCATGACTTACTTTCTCAACATACTCAAAAACCAGGTAGAGTTTCCCTCGCCGACGAAAGGCTTCCTTCAGCTCCACAATGTTTTCCTGCTTGAGAGTACGAAGCATTTTAAGCTCTCGTAAAGTCGTTTCCTTGACTTCTTCATTTTCTAGAATGAACAGACAACGGTGAGGAGAAAATAAATGAAAGCTTTCAAAGCTACCTTTCAGAGAATGTTATGACACTGACAACATCTTATACTTAAGAAGTGCACAGATAGAATATTCACATATTTTCTTGGTGAAATAAAAAAGAAACTTCAAGAAAAGGCTTAGTTGCATCTGGTGGTGTAGACCTATAATAATCCCAGCACTCAGTTGAGGCTGGAGGATGGTAAGTTTCAGGCTAGTCTGGGCCATGAGGCACCAAAGGACCCCAAAACAAAACCAACAACACAAAAGGCTTACTTGAACACATTTCTTTTGCTTGCATTTTCTTTATTTTTTACTGTCAAAACCATAAATTTATAGAGATAGCATATGAATCTAACTTTAGCTCTAACATTCTGAGTTGGGGAAGCAAATGTTTAAAAGGGTTACGTGAGTCAACCCTATCATTGTGCAGAGGAGACTGTGCCTAGTCTGTGTAGCATGTTATGTCCTAAGATTAGTTACAAGTTTTGGCTTAAAAGAGCATTTTATTCTTCAGGCTGCTTGTGGGTCACCTCAGTGAGCACAGGTTGTGCAGCAGGCATTCATGAAGCAGCTCATGGCCAATCAGAGGGAATTCTTAAGTGTCTTATTTCTTTGAACAGCAGCTGCTGTGCGTTCCTGCAGCCTTCCCATGGTATGTCCATCTGTCCATCCCAGATGGTGTAGCTGTTCTGGGATGGAGAACTTATGCTGTACCAGTATCTGCCCTACCATACCATTAACTTTACTTGTGATAACCTCCAGAGACATAGAGAAAGCACAGAAGTCTCATTAACGGTAATGGATTATTGAGCAGGCAAGCAAAGAGTTAATATTTCACTTTAAATGTATACTCTGAATAGCTTAAGAGGTAACTGGGAAATTCCAAGTAGGGTGTTTTCAATATGTATGTTCATAATTCCCAAATTCCTAGTTGGAAAACTGAATGCGTTCTAAGTTTGTGACAAATTCATTCAGAGGCAAAACGAAATTGATATGAGACTATTTATGGTCTTTGTTTAACCCACTTGCTATGAATATTCATAGTCTACGCTATAGAAATATGCCTTGATTATAGAGTGCTATGTAGAGTGACATATTTCCATTCTAAAACTTTGAAATATGAATTCTAAAACACATTTGGCCACAGGCTTTGGTTAGGGGCCAGAATGCAGGCTTGTTGAGATTATGTTGTGGGGACCTTGATTCAGGAATGTCCTTAAGTCTGAAAAGAAAGAAACTAAAGTTCTGGGGCAGAGACAAGAATGCTTACGGCTTTCAGGGAAGGCATGGTTTCTACACAAGATCCCCAAAAGGGAAATAAGCTGACTGTGGTCCATGATGGGAGAATGAAAAAAGATTCTACATGCGGAGTAAGGATTGCTTATTAGCTGATTTTCTGTCCAGCTCCCACATTCAACCCTCTTCCAAAATGAGTTTAAAGAAGAGGCTGATAGAAATGGTGCCTTGTGGTACTGCTGGATCTATGACAACCAGGAGACACAAAGTTAATACTTCTCAGGACCTGGTTACATCAGCGAGGTCCTCCCCAGCTAGAAATCTGGTGATGATTGTTGGGACATATTGCCACCTTGGTGGCGATAACCAGCTGTAGAGAAGGGAGACAGGGGCAGAAGTAGTGACCCAACCCTGAGTGTTGATGGAAGGGACTATGGACACCTATAGACTTTAGATTCTGTCTTCAAGCAAGTTATGCTGTAACATGCAACTGTGGACAAGGCGCTTAAGTTTTAATAATTTGTGATTTTTTTTTCACTAAAGGATTTCTGATTGTAAACTTTTCATTAGGACATAAATCTAATAATCTGTGATTTTTTTTTCATTAAAGCATTTTTGATTATTTTTGGTTATGAGTCTAACCTTTAACAGCTGAGCCATCTCTCCAGCCAAAGTCTTTCTGATAATAAGCCTAAACCTTACTGAATTTTGGTACCTGATAAAATATCATTCATAGATATGAGTGTAGTTATAAAACATAAAAATATATAAAACTGACAGTGGAGTTATAAAAACATAATTGGTTATATTCTGAATGTTTACAAAGAGAGAAAGAAGATAAGTAATCTTAAAAGAAGCACAGAATAAATGAAGCTGATGGTACCTGGCTAGGAATCCTGGCAACTTGGGAGACTACAACAGGAGGATTCCAAGTTCAAGGCTAACCTGGGCAATGTCCTGAAATCCTGTCTATAAACAAAATGTAAAAACAGGGCCTGGGATATAGCTCAGTGGTAGAGTGCTTTCTGCACTAGTGTAAGCCTTAGGTTCAATTCCCAGTAAAACACACACACACACACACACACACACACACACACACACACACACGGGGTGTGAGTTGGAGGGACACTTGAGAACATCACTTAGAGTACACTGTGTCAGCACAACCTCATTTGAGCTGTTTTTTTTTGTTTGTATGTTTTGTTTTTTAAGAAAATGAGGCTCCTTTATGCCAGCCTTAAACAATCACCTGAGTATTAAGACTGTAATGAGTGGGAACAGACAGAAAATAGAGTTATTAATTCCCAAATTGCAAGCAAACTATGCCCTTTTCATTACTTGGAATATCCTATGATTTCGTTTCTGTGAGTACTTTTTTAAGTTTTCTAGCCTGCCCTACACTTGATAGTGGAAAATGTGGTACTAAATGATGAAATGATGGAAAAAAGTAATACACACTCCACTGACACATGGCCTTCTCCTGAGACAAGCAAAAAGTAGCAAAGCATTAAAAGTCATAGTACAATCCATGAAAATAAGCATCCTTATGTTGTCTTCTCCAGTTCATAAATAAAGAGTTGAAGGCTAAAAAGAATAGATAATTCTCTCAGTGTGCATGGACTCTGAGTCATATTCAACCTCATATCCTGAGTTGAACATAGGGACTGAGGTGGTATGGTATTTTACAGCGAGCTTTTGAGAGTGAGTTGCAACACCTAGATTGATGTCTAGACTTTGTAACATTTTGGAGCAAGCTAATTGGCTTGCTGCTAAAGCCACATAGCCAAAGAACATAGCATGGGTGAAAGAAATAATCAGTGAAGCTCCTAACCAATCTCACCATTAAAAGAAAGCCCAGCAGAGTGTTTCACCCCTATAATCCTAGCACTCAAAAGGCTAAGGCAGGAGGATTACTACAAGTTCAAAGCCATTCTTGACTAAACAATGAGTTCTAGGCCAGCCTAGACTACAGAATAAGATTTTTTTTTTTTTCAAAATACAGAGAAGAGGAAAGAGAGATGGAGAGGGAGGGAGGGCAGGAGTGAAAGAAAGGGCGGGGGTAAAAGAGCAAGATTGAATGAATGAATGAATGAATGAATGAATGATTGAATGAATGAATATATAAAAATGTAATTTCAGGCTATCCTGGGATGATAGCAATATCATTTCTCAAACAAAACAAAAACAGTTAACACTGTCAAAGTCAGGAGCAACTCTGGCAAAGTTATGTGCAGTATATACAATCCAATCTAGTAAGGACAAAGTAACATGAACAAAAAGGATGCAGAGTAAGAACAAACAAAAATCTGGCCTATTTCTGGAGGCTTACCGTTGAGTCAAGTTAATACAGCTAAAAAAATCAAGAGTCATCAAAATAAAAGATAGCAGTTAAAAAAAAAAAAACAAAACTTGCAGGAACAAAAGAAATTCAAAGATAAGTCAATGATGAAAAGAAAAAAAAAATCTAAAGATCAAAAACTACTGTAACTCTATTTTTAAAGAACCGTGGGCTTAGAAAAGAAATCCAGGAATAGCTGTAACCTACTTTATGAAATCACAAACCTGACATCTTTGTATAGCCAAAGAGGCCCCCAAAACAGACCTTTAAACAGTTATTATGAAAAGAAGAGTCAATCCATCCTTGAACGAAGCCATAGGGGCACCATGTTTGATTCTGGTTGCTGTGATTGAAGACAGACAGCAGCAGCAGGGCAATCAGTGTGGTCACAGAGGTTTGAACGGTGATGTTACTGTTTTATGTACCAAAAAAGATGAAGACCTTTCAATCTTTAGAGATGAAGGACAAGTAAAAGGACAGAAAATTTATGGAATCACAAAAGGTGCAAAATGTCACCAAATCTTACAGGAATCCCTGAGGTTTGAAACATCAGGTTTGTCATGAAATTTGCAAGCAAATGGTGGGAACTAGAAAAGATCATCCTGAGTGAGGTATTTCAGAAACAGAAAGACACACATGGTATATACTCACTTATAAGTGGATATTAGACATATAATATAGGATAAACATTAAAATCTATAGCCCTAAAGAAGCTAAACAACAAGAAGGAGCCTAGGGCAGATGCTTAATCCTCATTCAGAAGGGCAAACAGGATAGACATCAGAAGTAGGAGAAGACAAAGAACAGGACAGGAGCCGACCACAGGGGACCTCTTAAAGACTCTACCCACCAGGGTATCGAAGAAGATAATGAGACTCATAGCCAAACTTTGGGCAGAGTTCAGGAAATCTTACAGAAGAAGAGGAAGAAAGAAAGACCTGGAGGGGACAAGAACTCCACAAGGAGAACAACAGAGCCAAAATACCCAAGTCCAGGGGGCTGGCAGAGACCAATACTACAACCAAGAACCATGCAGGAAGAGGACCTAAACCCCCTGTTCAGAGGAAGCTCATAGGCTTCTCAGTTTCAAAATGGGGTCCCTAGTAAGGGGTTTCTGACATGCACTCAGTGGCCTGGCTCTTTGCTCACCTCCCCCTGGGGGTTGCAGCCTTGCCAGGCCAAAGTGGAAGATGATTCAGCCAGTCCTGATGAGACCTGATAGGCTAGGGTTCGATAGAAGAGGAGGAAGACCTCCCCTATCAGGGGACTAGGGAAAGGGCATAGAGGGAGAAGAAGGAGGGAGGGTGGGACTAGGAGAAGATGAGGGAGGGGGCTACATCGAGAATGCAAAGTGAATAAATTGAAATATATAAATAAATACATTTTAAAATTTGGGAAAAAAAAAGAAAGATCTGGTTTGGGCAGAAAAAGGAGGTGTGGCAGTACCAGGAATAGCCAGGTGCTCTAGATCATATAATCAAATTCTTTAAATAATAAAGGTTGGAGATTTTCTTTCAAGGCCCCTCTTATACAAAACTCAGGTTCTTGATTTTAAAATTCATGAATTCTTCTGTTATAGCATCATACAAACTAAAACTAGTACTGTGTTTTCTAGTCTCTAGGTAAATGTAGCCCATGGCAGTTCAGTGTCCAAGTGGGTTACATAGTAATGGAAAGAGGGACTGCCTCTGACATAATCTGATTGGCCTGCTCTTTGATCACCTCCCCCTGAGGGGGGAGCAGCCTTACCAGGCCACGGTAGAGGACAATGCAGCCACTTTTGATGAGAACTGATAGACTAAGGTCAGAAAGGAGAGGAGAATCTCCCCTATCAGTGGACTTGGGGAGGGGCATGCATGCAGAAAGGGGAGGGAGGGTGGGATCGGCAGGGGAGGAGGGAGGGGCTTATGGGGGGATACAAAATGAATAAAGTGTAATTAATAAAATAAAAAAAATAATAATAAAAGAAAAAAAGAATGGAATCAACTGGAGGAAAGACTATATGATTAACTAAATGCTTCAGAATAATTACAGAAATAAATATGTCCACTTTGAGAGAAAATACTTATCTATAAGATACAAGTAACATAAAATAAAATGCTAGTGACTTTATTTGATGTCAAATCAGAAAAATGACCTAACACCCCTCCGCCAATGAAACAAGGATGGTTGCACAGCTCACTGGAGTTAGCTATGTACTGAGGCCCACTGGTAAGAAGAGCGAAATTTTCATTCATCAAAGAAAGGTAACAGTCCAAGGAATTAGGAGGAGGATCAAACTATAAGTAAAGAAAAATTCTTACCACACGCTTTCCTAACAGAAAGATTTAATGGACTATTACCATTCAAAAACTACCTAGTTTAAATTGGCACTCCTGGATTGTTCAATATATTTGGTTTCTGTCTCTATCTAAGAATGATGACCCAGGGCCAGTGAAATGGCTTAGGGGATAAAGGGCTTGCCTCTAAGATTTGGTGACCTGAGTTTGATCCCTAGGGACCCACAAGATAGAAGGAGAGAGTTGCTGCCCACAATTGTCCTCTGATCTCTAGACACCAGATATGGCACACCTATAACAAGGTATACAATAAACATACAAATGTGACTGAGAATGATGATCTGCCAGTAATAGATTGCCATCTGATTCTCAAAACTCAATGTTCAAGACTGCAGTTATAGCAAAGTTAAGGAGAATTTAGCTAAAATAATTATTACACAAAATCTGAAAAACATCTTTTAACCAAAGGATCCTCCGTTATCTTTGGCATCTGTGGTCATTTTTTGTTTTCAAAAAATTCAAATAATTAACAGAACTAATGTAGTAGAGGCCTCTCACTTGTTAGGTATTTGATACTTAAATTTCTCTGTGAAAGCTCACATGAATAGGCAAATTTATATCACTGAGAATATTGCTAAGAATCCTCTCTGACATTATGATGATATGTCAAGAAGCAGAAGCCATTAAAACAAATGAACAAACAAACCAACAAAAGAAGTTGTCCCTAATAAAAATTTATCGCACAAACATACCTTTTTATTTAGGGGTAGGGATAGCAGCTGGAAATCGAATCCAAGACTCTACCACTGAGCCACAAACCCAGCCTATATTCTTTCTCTTAACAGAAGTTTCTGTCCTTATCTAGAGTATTAATGTCTTTCAGGGAAACTCATGGGCAAAGACACTGATAAATGATTTGATAGAGCTTTATGAGCTAATAATCAGGGACTAAAAACTTAAAAGTATGGGGAGGAGTGGAGAGATAGCTCAGAGGTTAAGAGTACTTGCTGGTCTTGAAAGATCCTAGTTTGATTCCCAGCACCCACATGGTGGTTCACAACTATCCATAACTCCATTTCTAGGGGATCCAATGCCCTGTTTTATCTCCATGAGCACTAGACCCATACATGGGACACGCACATACATGCAGGCAAAATACTCACAGACAACAAAATAAAAATAATTCTAAAACACGAAGACAGACATATTAAAAAAGAGAAAACTGAGAAAGCTTTCTGTTATACTTTTATTGAGCTAGTTTGCAATTTTCTGTAAAAATAGACTTTCCATCTTAAAAGATAATACTCAATTCTCCTAAGAACTAAGCTAGCATACAGTTGCTATTATAATCAAAATTGTATTTACTATAAAGCCAACCTATTTTCATAATTTCAGTTTTCATTTTTCCAGTTAAAGTAACAACATAACTTTTTATTTATTATGAAAATTTGGGTTTTATTTTTAAGCAGTAATCAGTTGTTCTAGGATAATAATATATTTTGCACCAAAAGTGGTATACCTGAAAGTATATTTTATCATATATTTTATCTAAAATAATAACATGTTTTGTTTAATTTAAACAAAAATTTGCCAGGCCTGGTGATACATGCCTTTAATCCTTGTACTCAGGGTGGCAAAAGGCAAGCAGATCTCTGTGAGTCTGAGGTCAGCCTGGTTTACAAAAAAAGTCCAGTATAGCCAAGGCCACACAGAGAAACCCTGTCTCAATAAACCAACAAACAAATAAATAAAATATAATTTAAATTTACAATTAAATAAAAGTTTATTTAAATTAAATTAAAAATATTTCACACAAATTTTTGGCTCCAGATCATCTTAATTGACAGCAGGACATTATTATAATCTTTTTTCTTTTTTTAATTTTTTATTTATTACAATTTATTCACTTTGTATTGCAGGTGTAGCTATTACCATCTTTTAAAGCCACCAAAAGGTGGCATATAGTCTCACACACTCTCCTTGCATATTATCAGTTAGGTAATACTTAGAAACATTAATGTGAATGTCAGACCAAGCACAGTTGTCATTTTAGCTTAAGTTTAACAATGCTTTTATAGAATTACTTCATTTATCTTCACAAAGATTTGGAAGTGTTTGATATACAATAGTCACTACTATAATATGAATTTTCATAGCAACTAATAAAAATGGTTGAGGGCTACTAGACAAAGAGGACAATATTATCGAAGTACTCTTATTTTTATTATAATGGACTTGGTTGAAATTTAGATAATAAAACAGATTTTGAATTATAGTACTTTATATGAGAGTTCAATAGACAACCTCATCTATATAAAACTATTTATGCATAATTCACACTCTAAGAGAGCTAGTCACCAGACATGTATTGTTTCTTTCTTTCAAGTCAGACAGTTTTCTTATTAGAGGAACAGGGTAAAGACATACACAACAGTACTATATCTAACAGGGTTTTAAGCAAGCTTAAAGCTACATAAGACCCTCTGCCAAAAAAAAAAAGTTTTTGAAGATCTGCTGACAATTATTACTTTGTAGCTTGCCACTGTGACCTTAAAGGTGAATGCGGAGTTAGCCGTCTCCATACCTAAGCAAGAGTGCTGCTCTGAATGTCTGCTCCAATCACCGTTTTTAGATCACCATTTGTCTCTGGACCACCTGTCATTAGTCTAAAGTCTCTGCTCAAAGAGCCTATGTCCAATGGTCTCACAGTGGGTTAGCCAGGGCAACTGCTTCCCTTAGATCACAGGCACATAAGCACATTGCTTCAAGCACACTGCCTCTCAGAATCAGCTAAAAAAGCACTTGCCAGTGTCTTCCTTGAAGACTGTCCTCACAGGGGCTGCAACAGGGCTCTGGGTAATATGCATGTGCTCCACAGAGGTGGCACATCATAGTTGAGCTACATCAAATGCTGTAGAAGCTACCCTAGGAGTCTTCTGTTAGCAAGCCTTCCTTGTTAGGGCATGCTTTCCAAGTATCTGAGATGAAGGTGATGAGACAGTTCATAAATATAGAAGCCGGTGCCTTAAAGTGTTTAGGAAATGTGCACCAGCGAAGCCAGGCTACATTGTTTGTCCTCAGGCTTGGCATTAGATACAGAGGCTCATGCTGCTACCCTTTCCCCATTTTTCATATGGTGGGTTGCAACTCAGTGTCACAACGGGTGTTTTTTTTTTTTTTTTTAAGAGTTGACATGAACCAGGAAAAATAGAAAATCGAGTACCTCAGTAACAGCTGAGTTGTGAGACTCTTGCTTTGATATAGTAGAGTATGTTTATGGAAACTAAGCTAGGACTTAGAAAGTGTTTTTACTGGGGGTCTCTGTACTACAGTGTGAAAAACTGCTGCCTAAAGCTGTTCAAAAGCCATGCAGACTTTCATTCTCGGTCCTCCTTTTTCTGTCTTTGGTTGGGTAAGAGTTACAGCTAAAGGTTTCAAAACTGATGCGCCAGTAAAATATTTTATTTGAAACTTTCCTTCCCGGCAGAAAGATTTAATACTCCGTTTGAAACAGTCTAAAAGTGTGACCAAGACCCCCAAATATGGTATTTTATTTTATTCCCTCAATAAGTGGTTCTAAATATAAAAATTTCCCCTCTCCATGCTGCCTCCCACTTGTCCTTGCGCTTCTTGCTGTGACTAGGAGCTAGAGAACACAGTGACCAAATGCTGGATCTTTCACAGAAGTCACTACTTAGGGGGACTACAGAAGCATGTGCTTTTAGTCAGTGTTTCCATTGTAATCTATGTGGAAACATGTGGTTAAGAAAACTGGCCTCGGGAGCAAGAATTCCACCCTTTATGGTAAATTAAAATAAATATTCTAATATCAAGAAATACGAAATATTTCAAAGTAAAGCATAACAAATAAGCTGCATTTGGTCCCCGAGGTTAGAATTTGAAAATCACAGGGATAAGGTCTAAGCAATTAAATCCCTCTTCGCCCACGTTTTATTTACAAACAAAACAAAACAAAAACACACAGAAGTAAAAATGCATATATACCTTCGCTGTCCTTGAATTTTTTGATTGCCACAATTTCATGTGTTTCCTGCAAAGGAAAAAGAGGCAAAGGGAAAATCATTCTCCAATCCCAACTGAGGATCCCAGTTATCTGGGGACAGAAGAGCAAACACACAGATCATCAACTCCATCCATCCATTACTTTGTTTCAAAGTCCCCTCTTATCACCCTGGAGACATTGCCAAGGAATGTGAAGAAGGGAAGGCGGGAAGGGGGGCAAAGAACAGACATTAGCATAATAGGCACGAAACATAAATCTCAACTGTCAATGTGTTCAAAAGCACAGGACATAAAAGAATAAAATAAAGAAGACAACCAGAAATATTTACATAACCCTTAACAATTCAGGATTTTCCTTACCTTGAAATAACAATATTATACACCTTGCTATATACAGTTGTATATGTCACTTCACATTAAATAAGTAACATTTATACGTGATGGTAAATAGTGGTTTAAAGTTCCAATAGTAATAGATGGTTAACTTAAAAGAGTATCAATGAACATACTCCAAGAGCATCTTCATTTCCAAAGCAAATGTTGTAGTGACATAGATGGTTCGAAGACCACGAATGCTGAGGGTTCCTATCACACACAGCCAAGCTGACGCACACAAATACAACGTTCGCAGCTCCCTTTAGTTGTCCATACTGTCCATTCCACAAGCAGTGCCAAAACAAATATCAGTACTTAAAAGAACATTTTTTCAATCTAATAATGTGAGTAAGATAAGTTTTTTAATTGATAACATTTGTTTATTTATTGGGGGTTGAGGATGCTGGCCACAATGCATGTGCAGAGGTCACAGAAAAATTTGTGTGGATGGGTTCTCTTTTTCCAGCATGGAGGTCCCAAGACTTAAATTCAGGTTGTTAGGTTTCACAGCAAGTGCCTATACCCACTAGGCCATTTTGCCGGCCCTGACTAGAGAAATTTTCTATGGCCTGGTAAATTAAAATAAACTCTACCAGGGTTAACTTTCTTTAACACTGATTCATGGGTGAAAACTTGTTGCCAAACTGAGCTATTTAATGTTATTTTTGTAGAGTATACATGATCAAATCTAATATAACTGGCCTTTGTAATTATGTAATCATTTTTGTGCCCCATGTCCTTAATTGAACATGGTTATTATTCATATCTTTCATTTTGATATTTTAATTATTTCATTCCTTAAGTTTTTACCCAATTATAATTTACTTTAGTAAATGACAAGGTGATTTAATATTATTTCTAAATGATGAACCAGTTTTCCCAACCTCCTTTAGTGATGACTCATAACTGTTATATCTTAGCATCCTTACAGAGTCTAGATTTATGTTCAGAGCTTTCTTGTCATCTTTAGCCTGGTGTAGGTACTGACCTACCTGCTCTTATGCCAGAACCACTTTAAATTACTGATATCTTTTACGTTGAGCTGGAGTTCTTGATCCTAGTTTTCTTTTCATTTTGTTAAATCAAAGTAAGAATAGGTTTTGGTTGTTAAACCTAACTTATAACTATATATATACATACATATATATATATATATACACACACACACAGATTATTATGTCAACTATATTTACATATTCAGTTGCTTCACCATTTACTAAAATCCTTTTCTCTAACGGGTTTCATATATTTGAATGCTTGGTTTGCATTAATTTTTGTTTCACCACAAATGTATCTTTGAATGGTCTTCTGGGGCAATGCCCCTGTTCTCCACCAATGAACACCTTCACCCATGTGGCAAGTGGGCAGGCCCAGAGTTTTTAGAATGGCTTGAGGCGCAGCTTAGTGGTAGAATATATGCTTAGTGTGTGTGAGGCTAAAAAGAAAACTGAGAGAAAGGAAAAAAAAAAAAGGAGAGCGAGGGGGGGAGGATTAATTAATTTGGGGAAGGAAAACATGTATTCTTACAGATTTTCTGTATACTTACGGCAATACCGAGGAAAGCACCATTCACTTCACCAACACTGGAAATCTATGTGCTTATTAAGAATGAAACGCCTGGCAAAAAAAATCCATATAGTAGCTTTTTTTTTTTTTTTCAAGAGGAAAAAAAAAATTAAAGGCTTTAAAGAAGGTTTGCTCAGATTGGCAAGATAGCTAAGTTGGTAACATGGTTTGCCATGCAAATATGAGGCCTTCAATTAAATCCCTAGAACCTATGTCATAAGGAAGTTATAGTGGTATGAGCAGGCAAGCTCAGCACCGGGGAGGTGGGGAAGTCATATTCCTGAGGCTCATCAGCTAGCCAGCCTGGCCTATTTGATGAGGTCCACGTGGGGACTGCATATATATGTATATCTACATATCTACATGTTTATGTACATCTACATATATACATATATACGTATATCTACATACATGCATATATATGTATCTATATGTATATATACATACACACATACCCCCCACACATGTGCACCTCTACCCTCCCACCAAGGCCTGCTGTTTTCTAAGATAAATTATAGTGATGGCATAGGGAGCCGAGAATGACACGATGGTCTCTTGGCTTTTAGAAAAATGCCTGTGTACAACTTGGCTTTTGTTTCAAAGTGGATACCTTATTTAAAAAAAAAAAAAAAAAAAAAAAGAAGAAACATATTTTTAATCCTAGATTCTCTTAGGTCATTTCTTTTCTTTGAAATAAAAAAAAAAAAAAGAAATCCTCTGCCTATATTCTAGAAGAAATCCATTATGTTTGTGTTCTGAACTTAAAATTATCTGCAAAGTATTGATGTTCAGAAGGTTTTGTCTAATAACCTTAAATACTGTATCTACTCCAACTTTTCTAGTAATTTTCACTATAAACCTTATACCTTTTCAAATGTACCTTTTGTAACTGCCTAATCTATTATATCACCAATACCTAGTGTATCAGGTAGATATTTGATATTTAGCGACCATTTATTCAATGAGAGAATTATTCAAAAGCAGGGCAATCAATGTTGTTGTTCATCTGTTTCACTTTCGATTTCCTCATCTTTCCTTCTTTCAGTTAAATCCTGAATTTGTTACCTTGGTTCAGTTTGTTCTACACCATACAGGGCACACCTCCACTATCTCCTTTTAGGAGATAATGCATATGTCTTGATTGACTTTATCTGCTTGTTACACAAAACTCATCTTCAAAACTGGGGGTTGCTTCTAAAGATCAAGGCAACATCTTATCTTGACTTCTCTTTTCATAGTCCTCCTCTGCCCACACCCTGTTCCTTAACCTCATCCTTATGACCGAGATGGAAAGAGATTTAACAAAATTTGGCAACTGGCAGCAACCTCAGTAAGATGGATTTTTCAGCCACCTGAATTTCAAATAAAGACCGAGTTACTCAAGAGGCTGAGTTCAAAGCTGATCACTAACAATGCACCATCCTCACTGGGCTTGGCGGGTTTGACCTCGGACTGTGTGGGAAGGTTTCTCTGAATGAGCACATGTCATTTCCTCTTTCCTGTGCAGGCTCTAGAGCGCATTACCTTGGTATTGATGGCTCCTACATTTCTCTATGGATGCTGTGTATCTCTTCCAAGCCTTCTCTATTTTTTTTTTTTGCCTTATTTTATGTATTTGGGGCACATTGGTCTCTGGAATGATCTGGAAATATGGATGTTAAGTGGGCTAGTGGGAAACTGAGAAGGCCAGTTCCTTGGTGAGATGACTGCCTGCCAGCCAGCCTCTTTACCCATGGGTGCAAGTTTTCCCCTGCTCCCTTTAGCTATTTTTGCCTCAGCTGGTTTCAGAAAGTGTAATAAATAACATGACATTCAAGACTGCTTTTTAATCTACTCTTGCTAATGAAATTCTCCCTGTAGTTGTCACCAATCTTTGATTTTTTTTTTAAATTTACACAACTATTAAAAGTTTGTTTTTCTTTTTCAATATCTTCATGGGTGATTAATGGAGAGGCAGGAGGTGACATGCCAAACGCTATTACTAGTTCTACCACTATCCTGAGATGGTATCCATAATATAGATGTGGGCAAAGAAGAACCTACATAAAAATAACTGAAGAACTTGTGCTTTAAAATCAGTTTATTCTCCAAAGCATGCCATTGCCCCCACAACGTCTGCAACAGAATGTCACCAGCTGCAGTTAGCAAGATAGACATGATCTGTTTCTTGTTTCAGTGTCCTGCTTTATTTTAAAAATAAGGCAGTTCAAGGCAGACATTTTAAACAGTAAACTAAGAATGCAATAAAGTAGATCCACAATTCATTAATGGTAATTATGTATCTCATCGTTTATTCTACCTCATCCTTAAATTTACCTCAAAAGTAGATTTAAGATTACTTTGGAATACAAAAAAGAAAGATGAGATAATTTTTATATAAAGAATTCTGGATTATACCATCTCAATATTGAAGCATTTAACATTTACTAGAATAAGTTGTTTTCAGTAAAAGGGAAAAAAAATCAAGCAGGGTGTGGTGCCACAAGCTTGTGATTTCAGCATTTAGGATATAGAGACAAGACACGCAGGAGTCTGCAGACCAGCCTGGTTTACATGAGACACTGTCTCAAAAAAGAAAAAAAGGAGGGAATAGTGGGAGAAAAAAAAAACCTGAAAAATGTATTAATAGTAACTAACAGAAGAAAATCTGGAATTTTTTTTTAATTCTTACATCAAGTTCTCAACTCCATTAAACAAACAAACAAACAAACAAACAAACAAACAAGCTTCCAATCATATTAGATGGAGAGACCTATGACTACAAATTTACTCCTGTTGTTGAGTGTCTACAGCTCCCATCACCCTTCTTTCTATGTTAAAATATGCAGCATGAAACAACAGGAAAAAGAAACACATTTCTATCTTAGTCTGCTAGTCACGCACTAAGCTATTTCAAAGGTTATACTCAATAGTTAATTTTCTAATTTTTTCTCCGAGAAAGGCCTTTCTTAGGAAAAATGCTTCTCTTCATCTAAATATAAGGAATACAACTTGATAACCAAAGTATTTTAAGTCATTCTATATTTTATATGCAAAGATCTCCACAGTTTTTGTCTACACATTCACATGCCCATTCAGTAGAAACAC